TTTATTTGCACCCTGCATTTATATGCGGCTTAATTAGTCTTTCGCAATTCATCATTTGGGACAAAAAAGAAAACTGCCGGCCCGTTTGTATACAAGGCTACCAACGATAACGTCTCCGAGAGACCCTTAATGAAGATGGACAAACGGGAAAAAGATAGCCAACGACCCTTTTCGCCAGTAAAGTGGGCACTCGTCTCTGGCTCGGGCAAAGAGTTGAGCCTCCGGATATATCCGGGGCCCAGCCCACTCGCCACATCTCCTCTCTCAACACGATGAATGAGCCTAGAAGGAAAAATAGAATCATCTTGTTTTCTAGCTTGGAGTCTACCTTACTCAGTAGCATAGACTGGCCGCGCACGGGGCAAGAAAGAGATGCCACAGTGATCTAACTTGACTCGTTACTTAGCATATGCTCTCCATTATCTCGTAAACACAGACCAAGAGACATTGATGACATGACAGGGCTGTCGGTAAGTCGGATAAGGCGTCATCCTTTTTCGCTGGTCGGCGTGTGTCTGAGCCACCCCGCGACGGGTACCTGGCCTGGAAGGGGGGGGGTGGCCAGCCTGACAGGCCGTTTTTTTTTTTTTTTGTTTGGACATTTTTTTGACGTGTGTGGATTGAATAATAGGCTGTCATTTGTTGCCTGGGAGGCAGGGTGCCCTGCTTATCAGTTCGAAATATTTTTAGCCTCATGTTGGCTCTGATTTCGTACTCGCATGTGATGCGAAATAACGACACACGGCAGGTTAGAGGTGAGACATTGATGGCGTGGTTTTATTTTTATTTTTTGGAGGCAGATGTTACGCTTTGGCGTTGTGATCCTACTCCAATGTCTCACTTTAGGTGCTTGATGTTGGTAACGGTGGCACGAGTATGTGGACGTACGATTACAACAGTATAGGTACTACTTGTACATGTGTATTAGAAAGCACGACGGGAATAAGGCTGTTTCGGCATCTGTGATTTCACCCACCCTTTTCATCTTTTTCGCCGTTTTTGCCTTCTCTCTTCGTGCCTAGCACTGGTCACTAGGCAGTAGGCAGTAGTCACTCTTTGGTAGCATGTAAGAGAAAAAAAGGCACCAGACATCCTGAATCTCACCTTTCTTTGACAGATCGGCAGTCGGTGTGCTTTGGGCTAGAGCGCCGCTAGTTTAGCTGGCCAAAAAAAAAAAAGGATTCAAGCCCTCGGGCCGGTACATTCTGCTTTGTATGCTGATTTCGTAAATAGAAACCAAGAGCAGCAATCACAAAGGATGCCTTGAGCAGAGCCCGATCGACAGCATCGTATCCGGCAACCAAGAACGTATCATGATAGGGTAGCATCACTATCATGGTATCATGACATCTACCACCACACGCAATCCTCCGCTAGCGAACCGTTTATAGCACCCGCAGGATTCGCCTTGCAGGAAGGAATGCATGTACAGTATATGCACTGCTTCGTACCAGGGCTCCGTATCTACGCACGTGCAGCCTCTTCCTCTTTCCTAGTGCCGTGGCAGCGTTCGGGGCTAAAAGCTGGGCAGCGCAGTTCGTGATATCGCTTGGCTCGACTCGACGCTGTCTCACCACTAGCGCTCCTCTTTAATCTCCCAAAGCGGCATCAGCCGAATCGGCACCAATTGCCCAGGCGGCCACACGCCTCTCTCTTACAAGTAAAGTACAGAAAACCACCAGAGCACTACAGTACACCGCTGTTTCGAGTTGATCGAGCCAGCGGGCAGATTATCGTGCCGTACTAATAGGTTGGTATCTGAATTAATTTTTTCTTTCTTCCCTTGTGCCGAAACGTAGTGATGGTGGATTGATTTGCCCTACGGTGGCTACACACGCCCCCCCTCCATCCCTTCTAGAAGAACGACAGACAGCCCTTGGTGCGAGTAGGACAGGCATGTTCGTACAAGTAGATGCAAGCCAAAATTACATGCGGAGAGCAGGAGTTCATCACGACAGATCATGACGCCGAGATGCAGCTCCTGCGCCGAATGACTGAACTGTAGTGGTGACCTTTTGTTGTTGTTTCAGCAGTTGTCTACTAGCAGCTAATATGAAACAGGCAGTCACACGCTCTTCTCTCCCACTCGATCTGCCGTCTGGATTATCTTCATGTTTTGTATTTCAAATACAGGAAGCCACTGTGAATTGTAATCCACCGTAATCTTCGACGTAAAAGACGGAATTTTTGTCAATAAATCACCGGTGGGCTGGCGTGCCGGGGGGAGGACCAAAATTAGGTACCTTAATAGGCTGATATGACGATAGCTCCGTACGAACTGTAAGATTGAGATAATGGCAAAAAAAAAAGACTTTTTACACCGCTATCTTCCAATTCTCTTCGATCAATTAGTTAGTTTTCTTTACTTTGTTGGGAAACATACAAATAAGCCGAAACCTTGCTCATTTTGCAATTGACTTTTCCTTCCCGCTGCTCTCTGGATGACCTGTGGTTTCCGTGAGCCTGTTCCTCGCCCCTATGCAGGTACCTTGAAACCTTCCTCACCTCCCTGCAAAGCGACTATTCCCTCCAAGGTGCTGTCTACTGATATCTACTATCTTCTGCCTTTCTGACACATCACCTCTCGACCACGCTTCTCAATTTAAAATTGCCCAGCAACAGATACAGCGCAGCAAGCCACCACCATTCCAGCGCCCGTCGCACGCTCGTGTTTTTGCCACCTCCTGAGACACACGGCGCGCGCATTTAAGCTCATGTTGCATTTTATTACAGGTACAAACTGCCAACTCAGTGCCTGGGGCCTATATAGAGGGCAGATCTCGCCGGGTAAGCAGAGGGTAGCATCGCTCCAAGCCCTATCAATATCGATGTGTCAAATCAGAGCACACGCCGCGTCCAGCAGAGCAAAATGTTGACACAATCAGCCAGCACAGCACAGCACAGCTAACCGCTAGCGGTGCAGGCCCTGGCCCCCAGCTGTCTCTCCAGCCCTTCCAGGGGGTCGGTTTCCAGCCCTCTGGGCCTCGTCTCCTAGCGCAAACTGGCGCCTGCCAATCACCGCGCTGAGCCGGCCCTCCGCATTTTCCGAGGGAGCATTGAAGCTTTCTGCCATGCCGCCCTGCTTTTGCGCGGTACCTGAACCTGAACTCGAGCTCGTACATACGAGCAGCCACGGGGAGCAACCACCACCTGCACTTGGGCACGATATGCTTTGGTTAGGCCGTCGGGCCGTCGAGTCGTTCCATTTTCCCTTCGAATGAGAGTTCTAGCAGGGCATCGAACCTCTGCTCCTTTTTGTTTCACCCTTTCTCATTTCATTAAGCTTTGGCCGTTGGTTCGACAACAAAAGCTTGGCAGCTAGGCGAGACGGCGAGGCCGTCAATATGCCTACCGCTCATCTCGTACCTTGTGCGACGCGCTGCAGTTGCACCATGCTAGCTCCCAATGGATGAACCGGTAAGCACAAATATCAATCAAGAGAAACTGATAGTGCTACCTACCAGGATATACAATTGTTGGTACTTGCACGAAGCCATCTGCGACATGGATTCACTCAGGCTACTGCAATACTGCCCTCTTCACTGAGTCAGCTGGCTCGCCGTGCATGGTAGGATTTCCAGCTCGGCCCTGGTCCATCGTCAGATGATCACGGCCATGTTTGCGGGGATCCTTGCGTCTTTTGCGTCGTTTGCTGATGCCAGCTCGATCTACCGTGTCACTCCAAGACACCCGCCCTGCTGAGCATTGCGAGACATCTTGTGCTCTGGGGCCCTTGACGATGCTCACCATTGCGCAATCCAGGTCATCGGGCGCTTCGTGGACCAGGGGATCCTCACGATGATGCTCAGCCTTGTCTTGAAGGGTGAAACCGCTTTACTGGGTCATCCATCTCGCTACAAGGGCATGGAGCTGCCGGCGACGGCTGAGCGCGCCCGCAGCTGCAGGAGGATTTCAGCACTATGCCCAATAACACACCTGCAAACGGTATACCTACGGCAGACGGCTCTGGGACGAGACGAGTTAATGTCGCTAGAGCAGCGCATCGCTGCGGCCACACGATGCGACGGCGGGAGATCCCTCGCGAACCCTCGTCTCCAGCCGCACGGCAGCCCATCCTCCCGTACCAAACACAGCCACACGCATATTACGAACTGCCAAGCTGAAAGCTGAATGGAGGCATCGTGGTCGAGCCTTGTGAGGAAGCGATGCGATGCGATGCAATGCGCTGGCCGTGCCGCTCACCTGCGGTCAGGCACCGCATCCTTCATTATGCAGCTGCCCGGCATGCTGATTATTGATCCTGTGGGATATCACTAAACACCACCACTACCACTGCTCAACTTACTGAGGGCCGGTACAATCCCTTGTGGCGTGAGCGTTATATTATAGCATCGTAGAGTGCCCTACCGTAACACTGCATAGGTTCCGTTTAAACAGCATCACTTATCACTTACATGACGCATGCTACCCATACAACCCGCACAGCTCTCCTCTCTCTCACGCCATATGTTGTCGTACCCGTACTACACACGAGACACCTGCCGTTTTCTGTCCCCGGCTCGGTTCTCTCCATGGCACTTTTTCTCCTGTCGATTGACGGCTGACGACTGCGACTTTGTTCAGTGAAAATCCGGCTCGCTCGGCGATGGACTGCTATGGAGCCGATCTATCGTTGCTGTCGCTGTAACGGTGTCAGCAAGGCGCACGCGTCCGCCGGAGCGACTCGGAAGCGAGAGTTTTGGGTGAATCTTGACGCCTTTGATCGTGTAAATGCTGATTAAACTTGGACAAAAAAAAAAGCATGGAACTACAGACGCCACAAGTCCAATGGATAGCCTACTGGATAGGTATCGCTAGCTCTCGGCGAGGTGGAGTCGAGCGCAATTGAATGGGTGAATGAATCAGTTCAATCCTTTCTTTTTTGCCCAAATTATTCGGCCGGCGCGCAGTGACCAAGAAGGCTCCAAGCTCCACCAACGAGAATCTTGCCCGTCAAAGCCACCAGAATCCCACGTGGAAGACAGGGGTGCTGTGGCTTTTCAAGCGAACCCCCTGGCGATCGCCGGGCCAGCGATGGGATGCCACACCTCGCCTCTTTCCAGCAAATCGCAGGTGCTGCTGGTTGGGGTAAACGATCCAGGGCGCTGGAGCGAAGACGAAAAGCGTGTGACTGTGTGTGATAACTGTTGCTCGGAAAGGGCTTTAGAGTTTCGCGGCCTCTTCCTTGGCATCAGGTACCTTTTGTAGTCTGCAATTTCTGAAATGAAAGATGCAACCTTTTTTGTGTGAGTCGATCGAGAAGATGCTTTGGCTGGTGCGGGGATTGGCGGTACTGCTGGGAAAGTCAATGGCTCGGTTATTTCGCCTCGTTTTGTGTCTTGGTATCGATTGTTGGATGTAACTGCGTCTTACCTCGGAGTATGGATTACTGTGGACAGTACGCGATCCGATTGAGCCGTGAGTGGTTCGAGCTCTGCCGAGTGTAGATTGCTGCGATGTAAGTCAGTATTCGAACGTACAGAGGTACTAAATGCAGTCCCATCCATCGGGAGTTCCCATCACGGATGAATGGATGATAGTGCCTATTGCATTCGACCACTACTACCCCGAATTGAGATGAATTTCGTTTCGCGCCGTCGTCGCATTGACTTTGGTAGTGGTGGTGCCCCTCATTCTCAGGCTTGGGATATATGACGACAGCGCGCGGAGAAGCAAGTCCGGTGTTGATGCTAACACGGCCCTACGTCGAGACGGACGGCCATCCGCCCCCGTCGCTACTGTACCGTACCTATTCGCAGGTAAGGTACAAACCACAATTAGGCCCATCATGCCATCATACATATTCGAATCACCATAAAGTGGGCAGATCGTGGAGGAGGCGTGGTGCTGCCGCCCTTTTACAGGGTAGGCAAGCCATTGACTCCAGCGTGTAACGAATACGGCCCTGCTTCGTATTGGCAGAGGATGGAGGAAGAGTCAGGCTGCCTCTCAGTCAATTAATCAAAGCAAAGCAGCTGCAGCCTTGGCGACGCTGATTGACTGATTGATTGCTCGCTTCGGCATCGGCTCAGTGATCCTCCGGCAAACTCTATCTTACGCTGCCTGGTCAGAAGGATTGCGAAGCCGCGCTGCTGCACTAGCCCGCAGCCACGGCCGTCGGTTTCGAGATGGCTTCAGCCTCTGCCCTCTGCTAGCGGAGGGGAGAGCCCGCTAGCGAGGGTGTAGCGCGCAGACGCCTGTGTGGCCGAGACGAAGACTGGACCACCGCACACCACGGTCTAGGAACGGCCAGCCAGCAACAGCTTCAGCTCGCGAGCCCGCTGGAGCTACACCTTGGCCAGGGGGTCTGCTGAGATGGATGGACGGACTCGCTTGTCTTGGCTTGTCTTGTCTTGTCTGACAACGCATCGTTGAGTTGCGGACAGGCAGGAGGGTGCGGAGTGCAGCAAGGTACGCGACCAGACAACGACAAACGGTACTTGCGCCCAATGTACCTCGCAAGATCCACGCATCTCGGGGGTCCTGTCATGCGCGCAGCGATGCCGTACATCACATTGTGCATTGCATGGCTGGCGCGGTATTCTCGGCAAACCAGCGCTCGACGATGTTCCCGTTTCTTCACTTCCCGCGCGCAGCCTGCAAACTGCAAACCCCTCTGCGGGGGGCTATGCATGCCCCCAACGTCTTGGCCCTTGTCTAATTGAACTCACAGATACATATATATATTTTTTTTTTAATTTTAATTGCTCGATGCTACGCAGAAGCAACAAACCGTACGATGGGCGCCTGTATGCATGTCAATTGCATCTTTGCCCTTCGACCTGCCGTGTTGGACGCTCGACCCTGGCACTGACGAGACTGCCGCCGGCCAAATCTACCTGGGTAGAGTTGCAATACATGGGGACATCTGAGCCCAGCATGTCTTACGATAGCCGCCGAGATGTTGCGGCGCTCGGCCGTATCCATCAGCATCGCCAGCCCGTCCGCCGAGCTTCATAGCCGCCCTGCGGCCTGTTACCGCGACCTACCCGAGCATGGAAAAGGATAGATACTGTACATGCTGGAGATTAATGACCCGAACAAAAGTTGCGGTGACGTGACGTGCTTTCTGCGCCCAATGACTCGTCGAAATTGGAACATGCCACCTCAGACGCAGCAGAATGCGCACATGATCCATTGACCCGAAATACCCTTGCCCAACTACTATGCGTTATCTCGAACTGATTGAAAATGATAGATATCAAAAACATACCTTCGTGCATGTACCTATTTTACTCACCAGCAGAGGGGACAAGAGCGACAGCGAAAAAGACGGAGCAAACATGCGGAGTTATGCAGGCTAGATGGCCAGAGGCAGCTCCCGTTGCTCTGCACAGCCAATGGGATGCGACGCAGCCTTGTCGTTTCGCCTCACGTGGTGAGTCGAGACGAGGCAATTAATCAAATCACGGCCCGGGCTGTTCGCGTTGACGGGCCAATTACGGCGCTTGGTGTAAATGAACGTCCCTGTTGAGCTACTATGTACATACAAAGAAGAGCCCGCCGGTCTGAGAGGCACCTTTTCAGCCTATCGTACGGAGCACCTGGCAAACAAACAGGCCAAGATCTAGACTCTCACCTGAGGAAACCCTTCAACATCAGACACGAGAATGGCACCTTGGCAGGGCGGGAATTTTAATTTAGCCTGGCCTGGACTACCTGACGTGCCAGGTATGAGAGATCCAGCATGGACGATTTGCTGCTAACAGTATAACCTCCGCACAAATCGCCATTTTTTTTGTGCTGGGGGGGCCAGTATCTATATACCGTATATGATAGCTTTCCTTCTTCTCCACCATTTGATTTACAGGTGTACACGTAGGTCGGTGTAAGTACATGAGAATACGGAGGCAAGGGTAGCGGGATGGCCCGTTTGAAACGTTTGAAGATGAGCATGGGTGCGATAACAGACGATTTGTTGATCCATTGCCCGGTTGAACCGAGGCATGCTGAGCATGTCAATCCGTCAATTCTCATTACTTGAGAAATAGTAGGGCTACCCGGACGATATGAAACGGCAAGACATGTGGTCGGGGGACCCGTTATGATGTCAGTGTCTGGTCCAGGGGTCTCTGATCTGATCCGGAGCTTTCATGCCATGATAGTGGGCATTTATAACAGTGGATTTCGTCGATTTCGAGTTGAGGCACTTTTGCATAGCATTACTCAGCTTGAGCGCTCAACCGTGCTTGGATGGCATGAGCTTGATTCAACGCATTTTCTGCAATGCCATGAATTGTGCCATGTGGCTGATGGGCGCCGTAAAAGAGTCAAATGTGTAATATGCGAAAGCTGTGTCCATGTAAAGACCGCAAAAAGTGGTGGTTTCAGCTTCAGCTTCAGGTTTTTCAGTATACGCGAGACTAACTGGCATGACCAATGCCGAGTCTTCCCTTTCTCTTCCTCTTTCTTCGCTTCCAGCCACACCCCCCTTCTCTTTCCCTTCTTCGATTTGATCATGTAGCATCCTCGCCGACCGGAATCTGAGTTGACGTGATCCAGTTCTCCATCTTGGCCTGGCCCCCGAGGTTCTGCTGCGCCGTCTTCTTGGCGTCCTTCTTCTTGACGATCAAACAGAGCACGCGGCCGTAAATCGCGAACCCTTCATATGACACGTCCATTGCGAGCTTCTTCTTGTAGTCGTCGTGGAACTGCCCCTCGGACTCTGAAGCGGGCAGTTTCACAGGGCCCCTGAGGCGTTTTGGCCGGCGACTGTCCGAGTCCACATCGATAACCGAGGCGTCGTCTTCATCGCCGTTGTCGTCGTCAGAATTTACAAACAAATCATCTTCGTCGTCGTCTTCGATGGTGTTGCTCCGTGGGCGTTTTGCTTGCCGGCGAGTGTTGGCGGATGGAATGTCACTGAGCGCGATGCCCTCGTTGTCGCTGTCCTCTTCGATGCGGATTGGTGCGAAATCACTGGCGTCGACGTCGATAGGACTGGAATTCGTTTCCGCTATGAGCTTGGATGCGTTGGATTGGATTGTAGACTGGCCTTTATCGTGGAAGACTTTGTGTTTTGAAAGTAGAGAGTGGCGCGTGCTGGTTTCCATCAGGAACATGGATATCTCAAAGTCATCTGCCAGCAAGTTAGGATTTCTACTTGTTTGCTCGCACCAGGTATATAATGCGCCAAGAGAAGGATAGAGAGAAGGAAGGACAAATTACCCTTTACGATGACATCTTTGATTGTCTTCTTCTTGGCGCTCTTTTTCCTACTTCTTTCTTTCTCTTCACGTAGCTTCGGTATCACCAGCGGCCGGATGGCTTCGATGACCTGTGGGAGAATTGGATTTCGCGGATTCAGAAGCCATGACTGTGCCAGTGCCGGGTTGTCCAAGTATATCCTGCATTCGAGGACAGAGTATTTTGTGATTCTCAAATACCGGCGTATGGGCGCCATTTTGTTTCCTTCTACTACAAATGCCTGCTTATCGTGAAAAAGCGTGAACGTTGAAAAGGGAGCTGTCAACGCTCGCGCTTCATTCGCCAGTGATGTAATGGAGGCTCTGCTCCACATTCGTCCGCCAAAAAACAGGGTCCAGCCACTGTAAAAGCTCCCGCCATAGCGGCCAATTGGAGCAATGGATCGCAATTGGCGCGGGGTGAGTGGTGGCATGTCGCGAGAGATTGGCTGCTAGAAGAAAAAAAACCTTTATTCCTTGGGATTGCCGTGCCAAAGACCGCCAATTACGCCGCATTCTGCCCAGTGAGGCCCCGAGGCCCAGCGCGTACCAGTCATCCGGCATGGTCTTGGTACGAAAATGTCAAAGTCATGGAAATCGACGCTGAGGCTGCCCCGCTCAAGCTTCCCGTAAGCTGGATCGAACTTCAGATGACAATCACGAGATGATAGCTTGCTGACCTTTGACTGATAACCAGAGCTCGACCAAATCCAAAGTTCCAACAGCAACTCCTGCGCGACTGTACGGACGGCTACTACAAGTGGCAGACAGACAATAGACCCAAAGAGAACCCGTTTGTGCTTCACGATGGCCCGCCATATGCCAATGGGCCGCTCCATGCCGGCCATGCGATCAATAAGACCCTCAAGGACATGATCAACAGGATACAGGTGCAAGGAGGTAGACGAGTCATGTATAGGCCGAGCTGGGACTGCCATGGCCTTCCCATTGAGATGAAAGCTCTCGGCGAGAGCGGCACAAAGGGACTGAGCCCGCCCAAGATTCGAGAGTCTGCGAGGCGCCTGGCAAGCAAGACGATTCTGGACCAGATGAAGGGATTTCAGTCGTTTGCAGTTGCGTCTGAATGGGACAATAAATGGACTACCATGGACCGGGCCTTTGAGATCCGACAGCTTCGCGTGTTCCAGAAGATGGTCCGCAGCGGCCTCATATATCGCAAGCACAAGCCGGTTTACTGGTCGATATCGTCACGCACGGCTCTGGCCGAGGCGGAGCTGGAATATCGCGACGATCACGTATCGACTGCCGCCTATGTTAAATTCCCCATCATGTCTGACTGGAGCTCGATTCCCGGATTGAACGAGTTTAAAGGACAACTGTATGCTGCCATCTGGACAACTACCCCCTGGACGCTTCCTGCCAATAAGGCGATCGCTGTGCACGACGAGCTCGAATATGCGTTACTGCAAGTTGGGAATGAAGGGCTCTTGGTCGCGGAGAGCCGTATCGAAGAGGTGCAAAAGAATATACCCTCCGCAGTGCTCGTTGCGAAATCGATTCCTGGTTCACATTTAAAGGGTCTACAATATCGGAATAAGCTGAGGGGGGCTTCCTCTACTTTACAGCCTATTGTTCACGCTGATTTTGTTTCTGCTGATTCAGGAACTGGGCTGGTTCACATGGCGCCCGGGCATGGACAAGAGGATTATCAAGTGTGCTCGGCGTTGGACATTGAGGCTTTTGCACCTATTACGGATGAAGGCTACTTTACTCCTGAGGCTTACCCGGATGACCCTGAAAAACTAACGTCTGCACCCTCTATTCTTGACGGTGGAAGCCAAGCTGTACTGAATCTGGTTGGTGAGGATGTGCTCTGGACTCATAAACTTCAACACAAGTATCCATACGATTGGCGCACCAAGAAACCAGTCGTTATTCGCGCTACAGCACAGTGGTTCGCAGACGTCGGCAGCATCAAGGAAGACGCCTTGCAGGCATTGAGCAAAGTGCGCTTTGTCCCAGAGTCTGGCAAGGTTCGTCTGGAAAGCTTTGTCAAAGGTCGAAGTGAATGGTGCATATCTAGACAGCGATCTTGGGGCGTGCCTATCCCGGCCCTTTACGATGAAGCTGGAAACGCAGTCATGACGGATGAGTCTATCGAACACATCATTTCTGTCATGGAACAAAAGACATCGGACGCTTGGTTTTCGGATAGCGCAGACGATACGACTTGGATTGAACCATCGCTAAAAGGAAAATATCGCCGTGGAACTGATACCATGGATGTTTGGTTTGACAGCGGAAGCAGCTGGACAGAGATTGGACGTCCTGTGGATGTCTACCTTGAAGGCTCTGATCAACACCGAGGCTGGTTCCAGTCAAGTCTCCTGACATTTGTGGCTGCTCAAACAGCAGATGGCAAGTCTGGAGCTGACATTGCTGCACCATTCAGAACACTCGTTACACATGGCTTTACGCTTGATGCGCAGGGCAAGAAGATGTCCAAGTCTCTAGGAAACACCATCGGTCCTAGTGAAATCATGGAAGGCAAGCTTCTGCCTCCGCTTAAGAATAAAGGAAATGATACTGTTACGCGATATGATGCGCTTGGCACCGATGCCCTGCGGCTCTGGGCAGCAAGCAGTGATTTTACATCTGATATTCTAGTGGGAGCATCCATCTTGCAACCCATACACAGTGCACTGATCAAATACCGTACAACGCTGAAGATGCTCCTTGGATCACTACATCAGTCTGCGCTTCAAGCACCGTTGACAAAGCTTGACCAGATTGCCATTTTGCAGCTTCAGGATGTCATGGCCCAAGTCTGGGAGGCATATGGCAACTACGAATTCCATAAGGCTACGGGTTTGATTAACCGATGGATTGCGACGGATCTCTCCGCGTTTTACCTGGAGGCGCTGAAAGATCGCCTCTACTGCGGCGACGGGGGCGGTGTTTTGGTGCCCATCTTGATCGGATTCTTGCGAATGCTGTCACCGATAACGCCGATGCTGGTGGAGGAAGCCTGGTCTCACAGGCCAACATGGATGGCAGAAGATTTGTAAGTTGTGCCCGCATGTGATTTCTCACTTTCACCATTGGTGCCTAGAGGGTCCCTTTTTTGTGTCTTTCTCCAACAAAACGCTAACCCCCTCGCAGGTCATTCGAGAATCCGGCACGGCAGCTTTATAACTCACGTGTGATTGATCCCGCGCGCTTGACAATGGATCAGGCGCAACTTCGTCTCGACTTGCCTATCCTATCTGCCGTGCACGACGCAGTCAAGGCGGGGTTGGAGCAGGGCCGAGAGTCGAAAGCCCTCGGCAGCTCGCTCCAATGCTCCGTCAACATATCCGTGAATGATGACCGACTGGCGGGCGTGTTGAAGGAGTACCTGGACGAGCTGGACGCCATGTTTGTGGTGTCATCGGTGGAGTTGAACAGCCCCCTTGCGCCTGAGAGTCACGACTGGTGCTATTCAAGGGAGTTTGCAGTGGACGGCGTGCAGGGCGTTGTGCATGTGCTGCCGCCAAAGGGGAGCAAGTGTTCCCGGTGCTGGAAGTATATTGCTGAAGAGGAGGAAGGGCTGTGCGGACGATGCGATGAGGTTGTGGCAGCCTGATGTGCCCTGTAGATCTCTGTTCTAGAATCTGTAAAGTACAGGCATGGGTAGGGGTATGTATATTTGGTGTATTTGGTGCTTGTTATATAATGAGTGTACGATAGATTTGTTGTATAAAGAAATAAGAATAAACATAAAATGGGAATACGAGAGTGATAGATGAAATGAATGACTGAAAAATGCTGCACGAATGATGCGATCTCAGTCTGAAAACGGCACTGATATCATACTTGCCGAGCAAATAGGCTTTTGACGTGACGAGATGGCGCTTGTGCATGATTTTTATGTGCCATGCACGATTTGAGCGTGTCAGTGACATCCTCGTACATGCTGGGCGCACTAAGAGAAAAAAACCGGATCTCATCTCCAAAGGCAGGGACAGGCCCGCCCAAGCATTCGCTAGATTTTGGCATGATTTGACCTGATTCACGCAGAGATTATTTGGAGATTGGAGGCCCCGAAATGTCCGAGCTTCAGCCGCAAAAAAAGGGCCCCCAAAGCCACTGGAGCGCAGAACAGCAGCCCGAAGCTGGTTGCGCGTCCCTAATAGTGAAATCTGGGCTTGCGCTGCGCCTCGTTTGTAGAAAGACGAAGCATTGGGGCGATTATCGATCGTCTTTACTCCTTGTAGACGCTGTTGCTGCTAGCAGAGTTTCTTTCTTTGTCCCGAGGGCGATCAGCCAATCTGTGCAGCATCTGGATACTGACTGCTCTTAGCCTAGTGGCAGCGCGAGCCTTGTGCTTGTTTCCACTGCCTTGCTTGATGCGCATCACCAGAAGCTCGTTCGCCTGTTTCCCATCCCTACAGGTAGCGGAACTTGCAACACCCCTCATTACAACTCCCCCCCTTTTGTCTCTCAAACTCGTCTACGTTTTGCCAAGTTTTTAATTCTTTCTAATCATCTTCTTCTCTTCTTTCTCCTTGTTCCTGTACTCTTTATATCCTTGCAGTAATTCTTAATTATGTGTCCTGCCCTTTCGCGCCTGCAGTAGGACGACCTCAAACAACGGACATTAGAGCTGGCGGCGCTGGCGACTATGTGCCGGTGCCGACGCAATGGCCGATCATCACATGCCTGCGCCGCGGTCTGCAGGATTCTTCTCAGCTAGCCACCGAGACGGGCGACGAGATGGCCTTGCGACGCCAGAGCGACGGCCGAACAGCAGCCACGAGATGGGCAAGTCGAGCGTTGCGACCAGCCAGCGGGAGGACGACGACGACCTGCTCCACGACGACCACGACCCCCTGAGCTCCAGCCATACCGAAGTTTCTTCGCACGCGGACGACGGACACGCACATACACACCGGGAGGAGCGAGAGCGCGCGCAGAAGAAGCACAAGGGCCGGCTGGGCGGCGGGTTCCTGCTGCACGACGCCTTTGGGGGAGGACGGCTGCTGGGATCTCGTCGACAGCGGGCTGCTCACGCCCAGGCTCCTGCTCCTCCAATACCGCAGCTGCAGCTGGGTGGTGGGCGTGATGCTTCGTTTGAGGCTGGTCCCGGCCCTGAACGGGGCATGCGACAGAGCTCTGCGCCCATCCGGCCGTCTGGAGAGCCTGCCAACTCGCCGCCGAACACTGGCCATTCGGCCGAGGGCAGGATGCTCGCAGACTCTCACCACCAAGACCCGCACCCCGTAGCCGATCTGGATTCGTCGCAGATTGTGCATATGGCGCTCAGTCTGAGCGAGTCTCGGCGCCTGGCCTCGCGACGAACCGGTCATAGAACGGCCGCTCCTCCACGACTCGCCCCCCTACCGGACGGGAGCTCTTCGAATAATATCCGACAACATCTTCAGCAGCAGCGCAAGTTTTCACGGACGGAAACCCCCAATCTACTCCAAGAACCATCGTCTGGACCCTTGGTCCCTGGATCGAGAGGCAGCGGAAACTTCCAATCCTCGTTTGAGGGTGCCCACGATTCGCAATACCGGTATCAGTTCTCTGCGTCGACACTGGCCAGAGCACACAAGGCCAAAGTACATCTCGAGCTATGGTCGCAGTACAGACGGTTGCTTGACGTGCTGCCTCCTTTGAAGCCGGGTCTCGAGAGGCCTACATCGGGGAGCTCACCAGATTCTCCGTTTGGAGTAGGCTCCCAAGCGCTCGCTGTAACGCTGGGCCGGCAGTACAACCCCTTGCAATACATTCGAAATCGCAAAGTACGGGCTCGTGAGAGAAAGGTCATCGACGGAAAGCGGCAGGGCTTCAGCGATGTAGACAGCGTCAGGCAGTGGGTTGATACGGTCTACCGACAAAAGTCAGTAGTGGGGACGCCGCTTGCTGATGACGGGCCTTCCATTCCTCCCTACCACTCTGCCGAAGAGGCGGATATGCTGCTTTCGCCTGCGGACACTGCTGCCAGACCGCGACGGCCTCGAGTGGACTGGTTTCTGGACCCTTGCGATGTCATCGCCGACGCATACTGGCTGGAGCAAAACGGACACAAATACCTTATTGAAGATCGCCATTGGCGTAAAATATTTCCATCTGTATCCTCTGATTTGAGCAGGCCTTTGTCTCGAGAAGTGGAGGAATCCAGTAGCAAGATCTCGCCATTCACAACGAGGGATTATGAGTTGACTGAAACTATTCCTGAAGGAAAGGAATTTGGACTCTCGAAAGTTCGCTCAGAGCTATCACATACCAGTGCCAAGGATCGAGCCAAACAGAAGTTTCATAACATAAAAGGCTTTCACCATCGACATGCAAGCGGTGGTGGTGGTCACCACGGGAAGGATTCCTCTTCGGAAGATTCAAGTAGCGACAGCGATTGTGAGCCAAAGAAGAGGGCGAAGCTGGTTCGTAAGGGAACCATCTCTAGCAACTCGAATGATTTACTCCAAAAACAGATGATGGAGATGGTGGCCAGAGAGGCTCGCGAAAGAGAACTCGAAGAGTCGGCTCTGGTCCATAACGAGAGCGCGGATGACCGAAGCATTGAGCAGCCTCCGTCTCGATTGCATAGCAGAAGAGGCTCTTCTGTGGCGGAAATCAGCGACTCCGAGCGCAGAGCTGCCATGTTTGACAGGCTGAAGCAAGGATCTCCGACACGCACGAGTGTTGATGCCCACCATCATTCCATTTCTCCAGGGAAACGACTCTCACTTCCAAACTCACCAGAGGCCATACCCATTCGCAATGGCAAATCTGAGTCGGTTGCCAGTGCTGAAACCTCGCCACTCTATAGTCGATCAGCATCTCCCACCAGAAACCCCATCAACAAGATTAAACAACTGATGCGTGACAAGAACGGCGAAGCTCGCGGAGGGCCTTTATTGGACGACCCTTATGATGATGGAGAGGGCCGACTGTCGAAACGTGAAACCAATCTGGCACGCTCAGGCTCGACGTCCACTCTGGGCAGGGGCAGGCGTCAGTCTAGTCCAGCTGGAAAGCTGCTCCCTGGAGGATCAGATAGCAGCAAGAATCTCCGTCCAATGGCTAGCGCTCGGCTTCGAACTGATGAAGGCGTTGGCCTACGAGGCATGTTCAAAGGGCCACGCATTGACAATGTGCTCCGAGGCGGTGTTTCAAAGCTGGGAGACATGATACGGAAAAAGGACGCAGCTGGCGAGACACAAGATCTCGATACGACGGATGAGTCCGACAGCGATAGAATGAGAGGACGGAGATCAACACCAATGACTCTATCGCGGAAACCCTCTACAAAAATTCAAGAAGGGCAGCCCAAGCATTTCCTCGATACGATGCCTGAATTCCGACACATGCCTAGCTATCGCCACCTTGCCAATGGCGAAGAGAAGCCCACCAAAGCTGATGGTCGTCGGCCCGGCGAGCTTGATCTTCTCCGGCCCCCTCAGATTAGCATTCGAAGCGCATCGTCGTCTGCATCTCCTCCGATTTCACGCAAACTTCGACTAGGAGGAGACTCAGACGTCTCTGACCCTGAATCCTTACTAAACAACAGCATCCCCGACGGAGTCCGAGACGCAGACAAGCGTCTGAATTCAGCCATTTCACTCAGCGACAAGGATAATCAGCATGGACGCTCGCTGGGCCACAATTGGTCGATTGCGGATCGTGGTTTGCACAGCGGCCCGGCGAAGCTGACGAAGCGCGAAGTTGCCAGGATGCGGGCTCTGATACTCAGCTCTGGCGTCATGGCCATGGAGATGCACCGCCGCGCATACGAGCAGCACAAGCCTTTCAGCAAGGAAAATCTCGCCTTGAACGAAGCCACCTCCCAGAAAGAGCCCGGCGGCGTTCCTTGGACAGATATTGCCAGGCTTACTCCTCACCAAGTCCAGGTCAGACTCCAGCTTCAGGAGCAAAAAGGGCCCTTTTGCGAGATGTATCCCCTCGCCGCCCAGACACTCGGCGTAGCCATCCAGTCGTGGGGCCAGCGATGGCAATCCTCGGCCGACTACTTCAGGGACAAGACCGTCCACGCTCTGCGCACGCGCGTCTGGGAAGTCCGCACGCATCTCGCTGACGACCTGTCCGAGATGGCCCGCAACGCTGCCGACGAGGCAGACGAGATCAGCCGCGACCTGGCGCTCGGCCAGCCCCTGAAGATTAAGCACGTTGTCGACACCATGGAGAAGATGCTCCAGACGCGCCGCAGGAGGTTCCGCTGGCTAAGGCGCGGGCTCTGGCTGACGGTGGAGTGGCTGCTCGTGGGCTTCATGTGGTACGTCTGGTTCATGGTGATGATATTGCGCGTCTTCCTTGGTGTTGGGAAGGGTGTGTTGCGGGGCGTCAAGTGGCTTCTATGGCTATGATGGAAAGACAGTTTATACTCTTCCCCGGACGGAAACAATACTCTTAAAGAGCCTTGAATGTAACATTCATCAACATTATGCTCTATAACTGTTACTATTAACATTATGGGGATTCAGCAATCATAAAGCTGTAGCTCCATTTTTTTTGTTCTACTTTTCTTTTCTTGTCTGATACCCCCCTTCAACAATATCAATTACATTTCTCAAATCTGGGTTTTAGTGCCTTACTGTTTTCATTATATCTTTTGGACTTGAAGGGATAACTTGGTGCATAGCCATGGAGTGAGGTAGCTAAAAATTATTTTTTCTTCTGTCTTGGCTTCGCTTTTAAACTTATACATGTTTTAAATGAATAAATCATCAAATTACTTTTCTCAACTTTCTTCAATTACGCAAATATATTGACTATATGTTTATAAAATATTTTATAAATCCTCTTCCAATACGAACCTTTTCGATCTTTTCAGCTGGGAAAAGAAAAAAAAAAACAGAGAAATTTCTGTCTATATAAGTGAAACTGTAGACTCTTTCTTTCTTTTCTTTCAAAACTTAACGCAGCACGTGAATAGGGACTACAACTCCCAAATTTGAAAAGTGTAAAATTTTAAATAGTAATGACAAAATGGAGAAGATGATGGGGGGCCGTAGAGGTAACTTTCTCGCCTGTTGACGGGAATTTGCCTAGAAAGAAGAAGATATAGGGGGACAAGAAGAAAAAAAAAAAGGGAGGATTACAGGAATAACGCTGCGTCTGCAAGCAAAGTCTAACAGCGACGAAGGGAAAGTGAAAGTTCAAGGTGAAGACAAGTATAAGATCGAAAGGAAGCAGACGCCATCAGATCATGTCTCCAAGATAAAGGAAGAATAATTTACTCAATCCTCTTTTTACCCTCCTCTGCGTTGATGAAACGGGCAGTACTTAGTCCACGTTCATGTCTAGCAACGAATGATCCAATGACCTTGTCCTTTCTGGCCTTGGAGAAGTTGTCGGCGTAGCCATCAACAGCATATGACAGCGGGTTCAGACGAGGCCAGTTTACCTACAAAGATGTGTTAGTTGCCAACGTGTCAAGAGAGAGAAAAACGAGTCATCACATACATAGAGCATGCCGTGAGTCCAGACAAAGTAAAAACACCAAGCTGCCACGCTGGACCAGAAGAGGATAAAGAGCCGCATGGGAAGAACGCTCGAGTTCGGTGGTCGTGGGGTGAAGATGCCCACGAGAACGATGAAGGCGCTAAAGGCAAGGATGTAGGGGATAGCCTGGATGAGAATCGGCCGCCTGTCGCCAAAGATGAGGTTGGTACCGGCATTGGCTTCTCCCGGCTGATAAACTCCGAGAAAGAGGTCATAGGCATCCTGACGAGGACCGTCGAGGAAATTGTTGAGGCAGTATCTGGTGACACCAATGCGACCGTCTTGCAAGGCTCCCATTTTGGTACGCTTACCAGTCCTGGTGACGTCGGTCTTCATGGCGCCCGTTCCAGAGTAGGCCGTGGACACAACATCGGCATTGTCGGCCCAGATGTTGCGGAAGAGGACCTCGAACTCGGGATCCTCGTTGCGGAATGTCGAGCCCTGTGCGAGCAGACCGACATCTACCAGCATGCGGTCGAGCATGTGGCGAGCGAAGATGCTCTGGACGACGTTGGTACGGTCGAGGCAGTCCATGCAGTTTGTGCGCATGACGCTGGTCTGCAGGCTGCGGGCTTCGATCCTCCCGTCGTTGTTTCCCGGCATATCGACGCCGCGGAAGTATCCTTGCGCATCAACAGCTTCACGAAGCCTGTCGACGATAGCATAGGCCTTGTGCATCTGCATGCCCTTTGTCTCGCTGTGGTAGTCAAAGTAGACGTAGTGGAGGCGATCAAACTGTTGGCGGCTCGAGCCCGGTTGGATGGTCGTAAACTTCTCATCAGTAAGGCGATTGGCTTCTCGATGCTCTTTGGGCATAGATACCAGAGCCTTAGCCATCTGCTCGTAAGACTCCTTGACCTTTTGCTCTCGCCCCTTGTGGTTGACCAAATTGATGAGGTAGTTGTCACCGTAGATACGGATCTGCTCTTCAAAATGCTTCGCTGCCGCGGCGAGAGCAGCATCGGTACTTCGCACTTGAATTTTTGGCGTGTATTTCAAGTTGTTAATCTCAGACCAGAAAGTCGGCACACTGCCACGAGTTTGGACGTAGGACAGGATCTGCACCTCCTGGCCTGCCGACGTGCCAAACTTGCCACTCTGCATATCACTGCTACCCGCAAATCCTCCCAGCCCTGTACTGCTGTCGTTGAGAATGACAATCTGCTCCGTCTCGTTATAGTTGGCGACATGGCCCTCCTCATCCACACCACGAGTAAAGAATCGAGTTCCACCACGGTATCGTGAGCGTCGGGAGATTAAGGTGATGGTCAGGGGCGTGCTCTTGAACTTGGTCTGCTTGATCTCGAGCATGCCAAAGATACAAGGCAGGATGTACGGATCGGTAGCAGGCTGCGGGCCAGGCTGGCTGCGTGAGCCGGCGGTCCGGAACCGTATCAGCTCTGACTGCAGATGCTTGTTGTAGAAGAAGCGGTCATCCGTCCTCAGCCATAGGGGTCGGGAGGTGTCGGCATGGGATTGGCGCTGGATGGAGTTGGTCAGGTCGGTCGAGTAGGAAAAGTACAGAGGCGCCTGAGCCAGGAATGTCTTGAGGAGGTTGATGAAGGTGTCTTCGTCCGGGTCGTGGATCTGTCGCTCGCGCATGGGGAGAATCTCAGTCGAGATGACCTTGTAGATCATCTGCCCCTTAAGCCTTCCCATAGGCTGGGCTTTACTGATGATGATGACATACTTGTCTGTAGTGCCATCGTGATTAGAGCTCGTTCGGTATGAATCGTGGCGTTATCTATGAGCCCGAAGCTCTAGAGAGAGACTGACCTAGTGGCAGCTGGATGATGCCAAGAATACCAGAGATGCTGGAGACGCGCGTCGCTCGCTTCGTTGAATTGAAGCCGCCCTGGGCCAGACGAATATCTCCCATCGGTCGGTCAATCACCAGAGACGGCGCATCGGGCGACGAAGGCGACGTAAACGTATAAGCATCGCTGGTGACCTTGAGGTTAATATCGCGATAGGGCAGCTTAGCTGCCGCTAGGTGCGCCATTGCTCTGAACAGCTATAAAAGTACAGGCACAGCGCCGTTGGTTGTATCCGCACAGCTCTCTGGGGTCTCTAATTTCTAGGTTGCCAGCCCTGTTTGCTGTGTTGTGAATAGCTCAGCTGTATTCGTCCCAGATCAATCACATGAAGAATGAGGGAGATGCGATGTTGCTTGTAATGCCAGCTAAGGACGTTGGAATTGCACCGCCTCACCAAGTGGTCAGAACGTCATTGCAAAGCCACAGCAGGCAAAAGGGGGAGTGGCGCAGTTTTTTTTTTGATTATTCTTCCCCTATAGAGCCTTGGAGGGGCAGCGCAATATCAGAGGGCAAGGAAGAGGGCAAATAAAAGGGTTTTATCGCCTCTCCCTTTCACGTAACAGAATTGATATTTTAAGGAGCCTCGTATCGTATCTCGTACAGCGTCTCGTACAGCATCTCGGGTATCAGATTAGCATTCATCGGGCGTCGGGTGATTGTGTTTTGGATTGGCTACAATTAACATTAAGTTTCATTCGTCTCTTCGTAAACTCTCTAGGTAGCTGATATAGGACTAGTACACCCAAAATAAGAACAAAGTGGCTTATCCAAAAGTTGCAATAGGAAAAAAAAGTAAGATGTAGAAAACGGAGGCATCGAAAGGCACTTTAACGGGTATTTTGTGCCTCTTATGCCTCTGTGCAAAGCCCAAGTCCCGACATTAACTCCTCAGCCGTAACGTCGATAGCCCCTGACTCCCTATCCTCAATGCCAAATCCAATAAAAAGCTCGTCATCCAAGTATCCGTGATACGTAACGCCGGGGCGCTTCCAAGCGATTGATGTAACATAAAACATGTCTGAGGTGTCTTTGTCCATTTGCTGCTGGCGGCCGTGGATCCAGAGTGGCTTCTTCGACACGGCATGCATTGCAAAAGGTGCGTGCTCCTGGAAGAGCATAAGGTACGGCTCGTAGACTCCGTGGAAGTTGTAAAAGGTCTTGTGCTGCCATATGGTGAAGATGAAGGTGTTACTCTCATTAGCAATGCAGATGGCATCGGTTCGCTTGCACATGGTAATCTTAAGCGAGTTGGACGCCTGGTGGATTGACTCGAGAGAGTTGAGGATGGGGGGATAGTATGTTGCAATGCATTTGGCGTCTTCCGCCTCGGTTCCAATTGATAGATCGAGACCAACTGTGCCATCAGCATTGATTTGCGCAAAGGCTCGTTTTGGCGAGACGTCGTAGTGGATGTACATGTTGCCAAAGGGGTCCCAGAAGGGAAACCAGTTCTTCTCGATGGCATTCCAAGGCAGCGGGCGCTGCATTTCTGTCCCTTCAAGGAAACTCTGAGAGCCGACTTCCCGGCCTTGCCAGTCGATAAGCTCGCGGAAGTCTTGAATGAACTGGCCGAAGCACGTGAACTGGGAATTCGAGCCGTAAATGATGTACGGCGTATCTGGACCGTACACAACACGGGCGTCATGAGGACCGATGTTGGAGCTGAAGTACGCGAGATCGCCCTCACATTTGCCACCCTTTGTTGGCACAACAGGGAGGGCATTTGGAGGCTGAAGGCATCGTAAGACATTGCCTCGAAAAGCCGCGTTGCAGACAAGTTCTGTGAAGTAAACGGTTTGCTCACTCTCCCCTCGCACCATCTGAGCTGCCACGATCCACGTATTCTCCAGAGTTGGATGCGGGATGATGTTGGGGTTCATGCCATTGTGCTTGCCCGCAAAGTCGATGGAAAAGTACTTTCCATCCGAAGTCGAGGTTGAGAAGATCTCCTGGTGAGAGGTCTGAATATCAAGAGGGGCAGACTTGTTTCCTGTGGGATACGACTTCGGAGCATCTCCCGCAGCCCCAGGCTTTCCAAAACTTAACGGCGCTTCCGCTTCTTCTTCATGAGTTAAGCCGACACTTTCTTTGCCCTGACTGAAGTCGGTTTTGCCGTCGGCCGGCTGCATCCATCGATTTATCCTGATTTCATTTGGTGATAACCTATATGTACTGATGATGGTGCAGAGGATGATGAGAGCAGGCACCACATAGAGCAATGAGCGCCTTATGTCTCTTCCAAACATTGTGAGGTCGCTGGTAGCCAGCAGCTGCTGGCCTAGAATTATGGATCGTGTGACACGAGCTGCTGTTCCAGGACGAGACGGGACGTCCTCACTGACAGGGGAAGCTTCCTCACTTGAAGTTGGTTGTGGATTTCCTCTCTTGGCGATGCAAAGAGTTGCTGGTATCCGTATGTACGCCGGAACACGGCAGCAAGGTTACTACTAAGCCAAGCCTAGTAGGAGCACAGTCGAGAAAGACAGACTCCGGTTTGCAGCAACCTGGTCGCTGGTGCGCGTGGGGGTTCTGTAACTAGGTTTTGGGGACGAGAAATGGAATAACTGGTTATTCTGGAAGCTCAATATTGAAAAAATAGGCCCCGGAAGCATGTGGCGTTGTAGCATTCAAGAGATAGAATTACGCGAGATAATCCTTTAGATAGACGCTTAACGCGAGGCTGCAAACACGCACCCAGATCGACGCCACCACAGCCTGATTCCCAAATGCAGAACCATCGAGATGAGAGACGATACAAAGAAGAGGAAGTCAAAAGCCCAGGCGGGCCAAAACGAGCCAAGCTGGGGGTTTACGGCTCCACCGCGAAATTGGGACTCTGGAGTCGCTTAAGCACGGTGATATGGACGGTGTCGATGGCGGAGAGTGGACTAGACGCTCAGGCCTGGATGGAGATGTCTGCAGAAAAATTTGCAGTTCAGTTGCAGGGTTCAATGGTCGCCGATTGGGATCCGAGATGCGGCGGTGAGAAGATGAGAAGCAATGATGGCGACTGTAAGCCATGCGATGTGCTGGATAAGCAGCCAATGTGGCTCGGTGAAGAGGTACTGTCCAATTGCTATACCGTACCTACTCGTCTTTCAGCTGCAAGGGGCGTATAGCAGCAGCAGGATGGGCAAATGATGTAAGAGGCTGCTATGCGTACAGTACGTAGCGAATGACCGAATTCTTCCATCCTTATCTGCCTTGCACGAGTATACTTGACTACTGCTAGGCAAATTCTCTTAGTGAGCCAGCTTAATGAGGATGAGCAGTCTTGCAGACTCAAGTGGAGACGGCTCTCGCCACGGATTGGAACGTGCCAGGGAGCCCGGCACGCTGAGATGGTAGGATGTAACCTTTAAGGTGTGGCTAGCACTTTATTACAGACATTGCAATGTCTAGCCCGGATGTGATATTGGTGATGATGTATCTGCAAATAGGCACTGCAGCTGCTGAGACGTTTTGGTCAGATGAGGCAGACAGAGACAGTAAGCCAAAGCTGGTGGGCATCAGCGGCCTTGGAAACCTGGGAACTAGGGCATAGCAACTAGCAGCTAGAAGCAGAGAGATTGTCATATGCAAAAGCAGAAGCCGAGGGAAAACAGGATGCGATTTCACCCCCAAACCCCAAAAACCCCAAAACTCCAAGTTTTGCTGCACACAGAGAAGCACTTGGACATGTACATGTACCTGTGCTCTTCGCTCTCCATAATCTTTAGCCCATGTCCCACCTCCACATATTAGCGGCCTCCACCAAGCGACCAGGGGGAGAGAAGCACATTCAACCGGAGCCAAAGAGAAAAAAAGAGGAAAGGTCGAAAAAGTTGGGCCAGATCCGGTTCTAGCGGCCAGCCTTTCTGCCAGGACTGGCACCGAACGTGCTGGGCGCAGATCAGCGATCGGCACTGCGCACTGCCGGAATCAAACAAGGTCGCAGCGGGGATGGGGTCAGGCGCTTAGACTGCTTCTGGGCATTTGGCCGTTCCGTGGGTTTTTCTACAGTATCTTTGTGGTATATCGCCGCGTGCCCCGGATTTGAAGAGAGAGGGAAAAAGGAGAGGCAATAAAAGAGCGGGATGACATTATGATGACGAGGGTCGTGTGCTAGAAAGAAAGAAGAATCTTGAATCCTGATTGCTGTGGTTGTTGTCAAGCTGATAAAAGTATTGATTTTGATTCACTCCATGTCTACCTGCTGTCAAACGTGTGGCACATGCGTTACAGTCAAGCCGAGGCATCTATACAGCTGCTTGGCAGGAGGATTATCAGCGGACTCCAGCCACTGGGCCAAGCAGATAGACGAGATCGCTGGGTTGCCCTGCCCAAGCTAGGCAATCGTTGTGTTCAGCCACATCCGCAGACGAACTTGTGATGAAGATATTGCATGGAGCAGCCTCAGCGCCTTCGATGGATATTAGTTTACTACCCAGTTGCCTAGATATCCAATACTATCGGTAAGCTTGGTGGTCTATAATCGTCAGGAGATGGCTGCTCCAGAACAACAAACGCCTAGCCAAAAGAAGCAAACCCGTAGAAGTCGCTTAGAGAAGAAATGAGCTTTTCTGTCGTTGGTTGCGTGAGCCGGAAAGCTAGCAATGGTACTTAATTTCCAAAGTGAAAAAAAAAAAAAAAAAAAAAACCGTCAGTGACATTATCCATGTTTGTTGGGTGCCCGCAGCCCCTTACTTAAATTCACCGAGCCCTAAACAGCATCCAAATCCCAAATCAAATTCTTTCCGTCTATATTTGTATGTACATGTACTCGTTTGCGCCAAGAGCCCATCAACCAACAACCAACATGCAGCAGTAGTTTCATTAAATATGCCGAACCCATATTGCCCTCTGCAGGAACAGACAAATGCCCGTAGCCTGTCAAGAATCCTTCGGCCAAGAGAAGAAAATAAGATTAGTCGTCGGCCGTTTTTTCCTTCTAGAATAACATAAAATATTAAATCGCTCGCTCGTAACATGCAATTTTAGCCGCGGGGCACCAATCACAGTCTCACGCCCTGGCCTGCTTCCCGAGCAGCAGCGGCTCTGTGCCGCCGCCCAGCGTCTTGCGGTACAGCCACGACGTAAAAGTCACGCTCGGCGTGTCCACCCATCTGGTGACCGCGTCCGCCAGCGCCAGCGTCAGGGGCAGCAGGATCAGGTTGGGCACCAGGAACGAAACTTCTAGCCCCAGCGGGCCCGACTTGGGGAGGTAGAGCTTGTCCACCCAGTGGGGGATGTGCCGCAGGTGCTCGTCCGTCTTCCAGCCGGTGGCGGCGTAGAGCCGGTCTCCCAGAATCGTCAGGATTGGGCCGTGGACCATGTACAGCGCAAAGGAGATGCGGCCCAGGTACTGGCAGAAGCGCGTCTCGAAGAACCGCTTCAGCCAGGCAATGCGTGGGATGGCCGCAACCAGGAACGTGGCCGCGACCCAGAGGTAGAACCACTTGTAGTCAAAGACTGCCTGAGGCTTGAACCAGCCTAGATAATACCAGCCGCGGCTCTTGCGCAGGTTCTCGACGTCCGAGTTCTCGCCGGGGATGCCGCCCAGGAAGAGGCCGAAGATGAGAAGGTGGTAGTAGATGAAGTCTTTGTAGGGCTCGAGGCGATATAGAAGCAGCGGAAGCTCGTCCTTCTTCGCCAAGAGGTCCAGGTCGCAGAGCAGCATGCCGGTGCAGAACATGGCGAAGTGAGCGCCGTCTGCGACGAACATGAAGTACCAAATTAATGCCACCTCGCACCATAGCCGGGCAGTTTTAGAGCACCGGGACAAGGCCAACTGCGATGCGTAGATGACCATGGAGCCTCTAAATTCGACCGGGATGGACCACAGGTGACCGTTGTAGCTGAGCCAGGGCACGCCTCCCTCTTTGAAGACAAAGGTGAAGTTCTTGAACTCGCAGTAGAAAGTCCAGATTTCATCCGCCCAGCTCTCTGCTTTTGTCTTGCCATTGGCCCACAAGCCAAGCATGTGCCACGACGTCAGATATACAACGATGACGGCGATTATTGGCAAGTAGAGTCGCGGGGCTCGTCTGAAGAAGGCCGATGCAAGATTGTCGCCCAGTTTAGTAAGTTCACCGGCCTGCATGAGGCTCAGCGGCTTCAAAGATAGAACATAGCCAGAGATGATGAAAAAGGTCGATACGGCAAAGTGTCCGCCAGTGAAGAAGTTTCGAATAAAGGGAAATGCAGCCATATAGTATTTGCTATCGTAACCGAAGCCATTGTCCAGAATGGAGTTTTGATTTGTCCAGCCGTGAACCCATAACTCGTGGTGATGCCAGTACACAATGAAGGCTGCAAAGCCGCGGAGGCCATCGAGATAGGCCGTCGGGCGCAGATTCTCGGCTATTGTAAAGGCCTCTGGTATCCGTTGGATGAGAGTGATGAAGCGGCTAAGAGCTCGTTTGTGCTTGGGTACATGGCTGGGTGCCTTCCAGATGGTATATCCCTTTGACTCTTTGCTCAATTCCGGATCATAGTCGGTTTTGATCTCTTCCCAGTCTTTGCTGGTGTCGAGAATGGGGGTTTCGATCATACTGGTGTACGAATGAATAGCGTGTCCCGCCAGTAAGAAAAGGGAAAAGGGGGCAAAGATAGAGTGAGAAAAGAGAGAGCTCGTTGCAACTTCAGTCGTGAGAGCCTCACACGGGAGACCAGGCCACCACGCGTTTCCCCAGATTCGGTCGATTCGATTCGATGATCGATCTACTACCCCGTAACCCCAGAGTCCGAGGGGTCACGGACTGTCTTCGTACTCGTTAATCTGGTCTTAGGATGATGACACGAGGCGGGAGTCCCACCGCACAGATGCTTCCCCAGCTTTCACAAGCCGAAAAAACGAGAGCAGATGCAGATGATAAAGGCTCGTCCCGAGGTCAGAAGCATGCGGAGGCAACGATGGCACGCGGGGTCCCGAAGCTACAGGCGGGCTAGTTGAGTCTGGTGCGGGATGTGCGTAGAGGCGCAGTTGCAAGCTGACGACATGACCCGAAAGATTATCGAGAGATTTTCAAGGACCAGCACTTTGTGATGCCGAGCACGATCCAGAATCCCAGCCGGCGGTGGAGAGGGGGAGTTACCTTGACAGAAGCTGGGGGGGCAAGGACAAGGCGATGACGCATGGGTATGAGGCAAATCGAGCGCTATGTTCGGTATTCCGGAATGCGCCCAGAGCCGGCGATGAGCAGTTTTGCCTTGCTTTTGCGAGGACGTTGCAAACTTTCACATGGAAATCTGTTGTTTATGCTGGCGTGGCCCGTGTAAGTTGGATGAGAAACAGCCGAAAGGCAGAGTGCATGTCCATAGCCCACACCACCAACTCTGCTCTCCGCACGCCAAGCGCCATACTGTAAGACGCCACAAGGAACGAGCATCAGCGCCAGTATTCCCGCACATTGGGATCTGCTGCTCGCAACCTCGGGGCTCCATCAAACGATTCTTCTTGCGCGGCCCAGGACGAACGTGGAGAGGCACCTTTCAGCGGAAGAGCGTTCCATCTCGCAGGGGCCCCCCTGCTCGGTGGCTTGCATTCTGCATGGGGGGATGGACTACCCCCTCACCCACACAAAACTGTCTAGTGCCATTGGATCAGGGAATGATGCTGCCGTTTGGGCCCTGACAAGACGGGAGCTGTGCATCTCGTGTGGTGGGAGAGGCTTGATTGGGCGCCTCGGACACACGACCGGCCAACTAAGGCGCAGATTCAGCTGTAATTTTCGTCATTGGTCTGGTGTAACGAGGAAAAAAAAAGGAGGCCGCATTCCAACTCGGGAGGCGTTTTTACGGCAGCCACTGAGCAAAGTCTGAGAGTTGATAATGGACAGGCCTGATAACAGCATGCACGCAAGGATTTGGCCAGGTGGTTCTACTTGTAGCATTGGCCTATTTTCCAACTCACGGGCCACTGCAGCGTGCTTGTTGCTTATTGCCTTATCTTCCAGGGCAACAAACAGCAGGTACAGTAGATGGCATCACGCAGCTCCAAAGTAGCAGTACCTCGCAGAGTTACAACGCCCAGAAGTCGGTGTCGGGCCATACCCGCGCGCCGTCTCAGCTAGTAAGCAGAAGCTCTTTTGTAGTTGCGCCTCTGCGGGCCTCGCCGTTTTTCAGCCACTCGTACCGGTACCGGCCACAATGGAATCCTGGTGTATCTTGTTCTTTGCCCAATACTGTACTAAATTAAGCTCATACGGGAGAACCGCCGTAGAAAGACGGCCAGGACTCACTTTGCCCAAAGAAGAGGCTGCAATTCGGATTGCCATGCTATAAGTGATCACACGGCGAATTACTGTTTGTGTCACTTCCAGATAACATTGAAAGGTTACATGAGACAAGTAGAGAGCGACAACAAAAAAAAAGTCCGTGACATTATGCCGATGACCACAAACATGGACCGTCCTGCGGACATTGCAGGTCCTTTAGACTCACTTGGGTCTCCCCCGTATTCCCCAAGCTGGCTCTTCTCCAACGCAGCCGTTCCTTGCAATTCTCACTGTGCGTCTCTGCCGCTGCCGTAGGACGCTTTTGGAAGCTGTGGCCGGCTCTAATATCGCAGCAATTCGTCGTGCTTGTGGCCCCAAACGTAATCAAGAGATCCCCTGGCCGGCTGTTGCAGGGATCCGCCACGCCAAAGTCAAGTTCTGCACCTGCATGGAGCCTGGGATCCTCAAGGCCATCCAGCTAAGCTGTCTTAGTGCGCAGCCCACCCCTGCTGCTTGGGGGGACCCAGCCAGTGGCATCGGCCGATTGTACTCGTACTTCCACGTCCTGGTCTTGGATGGCCAGGCGGGAGATCCCAAAGTGACGAATCTGCTGTAATTGCACCCATGGACGGCCCGGATGGTTCTTTTCAATATGACCAGAGTATAATACGCGCATAGGCCAGGAGCGGCGGCTGTTTTTTCTCGTCTCTCTTCCCCCCGGTTCTGCTGATATCGTCGAGTCTCTCTCGCTCGTATACTTGATAGCCAGGACAGACAGGTTACAGGATCTACGAGGACGACTGTGGATAAACTTTGTTACATTCATCCAGTGCAGAGAGTATTTCTCACCGGTCAGTGGTCTATTACGTGGCCGAGGCGCAACAGACACAAACTACGCTCGAAAATCCTCAGTCGTTTGACTCTGCTGTGCTATCAGATAGCAAGCCTCTCAACCCATTTTTCTCTCTTTTATTTTTATACTCGTGGCGGTTGTGTGTATTATGATACCCACTCTCTAAGGCGACCCTGCCATTTCTATCTTCCCATATTCGCCATTATATTCTTTTTTTCACAAGGAGAGAAGCAGAAAGGAGGCGTCAGTCATCATGAACTCTCCTCTGGGATCACCGAGGCTCATGTCCTCAGCCAGCCCCTTCCGCAACAAGGTGCCCACACAGATGAGACGATGTCTGCCTCTCTACCTCGCCATCGTCGGTGTCTTCCTCCTCATTGTCAACTTCGATTGGGTCTTGGCCATCCCCAATCCCACCGCCGTCCTTCGCCGCCAACCAAAAGCCCCTGCTGTGCCCGGCAGCACATTTCCGCAAAAGATTTGGCAAACATGGAAAGTTGACCCTCTCAACTTTGAAGAGCGTGACCTCTTGACGGCGCAGACATGGACTCAGAAGAATCCAAGCATGCGATACGAGGTCATCACCGATGCCAACGAAATGGCATACATCGAGGACCGGTATGGCCCGCATGGCTACAACCGCCCAGACATTGTCAAGTTCTACAAGAGCATCAATCTCCCCATTATCAAGGCCGATCTTCTGCGATACATGGTCATGTATGCCGAAGGCGGTATTTACGCCGACATTGACGTCGAAACTATGAAGCCTTTCCACCGCTTCATCCCAGATCGCTACGACGAAAAGGACATTGACCTGATTATCGGCATTGAGATTGATCAGCCCGAGTTCAAAGACCACCCCATCTTGGGAAAGAAGTCCATGTCTTTCTGCCAATGGACATTTATTGCGCGCCCTGAGCAGCCCGTCATGATGCGCTTAATCGAAAACATCATGAAGTGGTTCAAGGCCGTTGCCAGAGAGCAGGGCGTGGCCTTGGGCGAAGTGCAGCTCGACTTTGACCAAGTCATCAGCGGCACCGGCCCTTCTGCATTCACCACCGCCATGCTCGAGGAGATGAACCACAAGACAAAGGGACCCAAGGTGACCTGGGACCAGTTCCATAACATGGACGAGTCCAAGCTGGTGGGCGGCATCCTCGTCCTTACCGTCGAGGCCTTTTGCGCCGGACAAGGCCACTCTGATTCCGGCAACCATAATGCTCGCAACGCCCTCGTCAAGCACCACTTCCACGCGTCCAACTGGCCCAGCCGCCACCCCCGATTCAAGCACCCTGCCTACGGCCAGGTCGAAGACTGCAACTGGGATTCCGAATGCGTTCGCAGGTGGGACGAGAACATTGCCAACTGGGGCCACTACTCGGAGAATGAGCAGAGCCAGATCATCCAAGACGTGGAGAACAAGCGGATTGAAGCAGAGAATGCACGATTGGAGCAGGAGCGGCAGCTACAGCTATTAGCACAGCTGCCATAAGCTTTGTTCCACGCACGTCTAGAGGCTATGATCCCTCTTGTGTACCAAGGCTGTACATTTCTTCCGTCCGGCCGCAAGCGATTCCTTTTTTTCCGGGATTCTCTGCGTGCAGGACTTTTATACATTGCTTTTTTTTGGGTTTATCATGGTCATGATTTGGCGTGGACAGAATTTATTCTCTGGGTATGGAGTTGGCGAGGCTTCCCAACACAACATAAAAAGATGGGATGGACGACTTTATAATAGCATCTTCACAGCAATCTGGGGTCAGAGCTGGGGAGCACGTATATACATATATAAGACAAACTTGTACATATAGATTGATCTAATGAATTAAGAATTTTTGCATATCTAATTGCGACTGCTTTACTGTGGTTGGATCTGTTTATCCTTGTTCAAAGATTTCACACCTGACTGATTTTAGCGGACTTTACACCCATTGAAGAGATGAAAAATCAACTGTATTACGTCGGTGCTTACCTAGGTAAACTAGAAAATATCGAGGCAACAATCGAGTTTAATCTGCAGAAGAAAGACAAAACAATCTCGTGCCATAGAAATCTGCTATTTTCCCTTCAGCGCCAAATAACATGATGCCGGGCGTCTACAGGCACCGGCTAAAACACTGACCTAACCAAGACAGTGGACTGTAGCGGGAGCCAAGAATTTCGCAGGCCTTGGCTTACATAATGCAGAGGCAGCCATTGGCCATCTGACCCTCTCAAGCCTCTAGCCTGACGTGTACCTCGCCCGTACCCGTTTTCGCCGCAGCCACTCCATTCTCAACGGTCATTCAACTCTTTTGCCGCCTTCATACCATCGACTGCGCATCTCAGCCCGCATCAACGGCCCTTATCGCCACCACCTGTGACATCTCGACTGGCCTTTGTCTGGCGCCCGAGCAGATTCTCCAGCATTTGACATTATCGGCGACCATTCCCCCGCCCGACGACGCCCGCCTCTTCGCATATCGGCATAGCGCAGCAAGCATCAACAAACCCTCAGAATGGCCGCTCGAGCACCGCCCGCTGGCCGACCCGGCCTCAACACTCGCTTTGCGCAGTTCAAGCTCGTCCTTTTGGGTGCGTTTGTCAAAACAAAGAATCAACCGAGATGATACGCAGTGTGCTAACGTAGCTTTTGCGACAGGCGAGTCTGCTGTTGGAAAGGTAACTTTTGCCACAATTTGACTTGCGGCGCCGAGCACAGGGAAAGCTAATGTACTGGTGCAGAGTTCAATAGTCCTTCGTTTTGTCAAGGTATGTTGCGCACCCGATGCCATGAAGCCTTTTGTACGGTGTCGCTAATGAGGCTGTCAGGATCAATTTGACTCCTTCAGAGAATCTACTATTGGAGCGGCTTTCCTCACTCAGACCATCTCCCTAGATGAGAACACGACGGTCAAGTTCGAGATTTGGGATACGGCCGGCCAGGAGCGATACAAGTCGCTGGCTCCCATGTACTACCGAAATGCCAACTGTGCCGTTGTTGTATACGATATCACGCAATCCGTACGTTGAAAGATTACACCAGAGATGGGTGACGTTGCTTTGGCTTCGTACTAATGCCAGGATTTCAGGCATCACTAGATAAAGCGAAGGCCTGGGTAAAAGAACTACAGCGTCAAGCAAACGAGAACATCATCATTGCGCTTGCTGGAAACAAGCTCGATTTAGTCAACGAACAGCCCGATAAGCGAGCCATCCCAACTGCAGATGCCGAGGCTTACGCCCGAGAGGCCGGCCTTCTCTTCTTCGAGACGTCTGCCAAGACTGCCGAGAACGTGCGAGAACTCTTCACTGCCATTGCAAAGAAGCTTCCCTTGGATCAAGCCGGACCTAGACATGCGCGACCCGGCCAACGACCCGGCGTCAGTCTTGCTCCAGAGAATTCCAACACTAATGTCAACGGACCATGCAGCTGCTAAACGATACATGACACGATGCTACGGCTGGACGTTTAATGATGCCCATGTACCCTACGTCCAGCAACGAATACGTGGGAGTGATCGATTCAGGTTCAGGTTCAGGCCGGGATAGACTGACAGCAGTGATTCAAAGCCTTGGCTTGCATTGTGCAAGCCCGGGTGTGTCGTAAATTTCTCGGAGTCTTGGGTTTGGAGGGTATTGGCTGACGATTTATTCTTTATGGACCTTTTTTTTTATTTTGCTCCCCCTTTTTAATATGCACCCTTGGTTTTTTTGTGCCCCCTCCTGATGCACTGCAACGTGTAAAGAGAGAGAGTTAAGAGTAGTTTCTCTTGCAGATGGGCATGTTTCTGAGCTACAAGATGTCCGGTGGAGGATTACAAGATACGGGAACGATGTGTATTCTGTCCTTCGAAGAATATGACTGAGCGTCTAATAGATTGCTGCTTTGATAAGAATTGGGGCTCGTGATTTTTGCTCTCTTGAAATGTGCTTCATCTGCGGATGCAGGTATGCTCCCGCAGAAGCCGGGGCGTATGAACCGGTGGATCGATGCATCGAATGTCGAGAAACAGGTACCTGTATGTATGCACGGACGGTCTAAGTTGTGCACTTAAGAGTAAAAGACTTGGCGTGACAGCACAAAGTATAAAGAAGAAATGAAAATAATTGAAACGAATTAAAGAAACACACGTATAATTTTATGGCTGAATATCAATATTCATTTTTTCTGCAGCCATAAATGCATTACCGGCATGGCATTGGCCATCCGTTGCGTCACGGATCCGGTTCCTGCCGGCCGTCTGGAGCTCCCATTAGCCGAACTTTTGCCCTGAGCGTTTATTGTTCCATGGGTCAACTTTTGGCCTTGGCATCTCGATCCAACCTCCATCCACTCGTCTTTTGCTGGCCATTGCAATTCCAATGTTGCGGTCATCGCTTCGGTCAGCGAGATTGCTAGGCGGCAAGCCCGTTGCGGCTGCCGCCGGGCGTCAATGGTCTGTTGCCGCGGCGCAACGAGCGCCCATGCTGGCCAAGGTAATGCAGCTTTCTGGGAATTCCGAGGGGAAATTTTGCGACTGACGAGCCGGTGCTATATCTAGAGATTCTACGCCGATCAGAAGACGCCCCCCGTTCTGCCCACGTCCGAGACGCTGAGCTCTGAACGCACGCCTCCTCCTCCTGCGCAGGCCCCCGTCGACACGACCATTACTCCGGCAGAAATCCCCCCCACGCCGCCGCCGCCGCCGCCGCCTCCTACGTCCACCGAGAGCCTGAGCGCGGCGCCCAAGTCCAGCCCGCCGCCAAAGAAGAAGAAGGGTTTCTTCAGGAGACTGAGGAACTTTATCTTGACTCTGATTGTGCTTGGTGGCGCTGGCTTTGGCGCCGGAGTGTGGTACTCGCGCATCAACGACTCCTTCCACGATTTTTTCACCGAGTACATTCCCTTTGGCGAGCAGGCTGTCCTCTACCTGGAGGAGCTGGAATTCAAGAAGAGGTTCCCCCAGGCTCACCTTGGCGGTGCCAGACATCCTGATGCCGTCGAAAAGGTCAGAATCCCGGCCCAGAGCGGCGCTTCCTGGAGGGTAGCCGACAAGACAGAGCCTTCTGGACGCCGCACAAGCGCCTCTCCCACTGCCAAGCAAGGCGCGAAGCCTGCTGAGAGCAAGCCTGAGGAGGCTTCCAAGCCTGCTGAGCTAGAGAAGAAGACTGCTGTCGCTTCTAAGCCCGTCGACAAGGTTACTCCGGAAGAGCCAAAGACCTTCAAGGCCGCTGCGCCCGAGTCCAAGGATAAGACTGCTTCTAAGCCCCTGAGGTCTATCGATCTGATGACCCTGCCCGATGCCAAGGAGCCCATCGTTCGAGATCTTGTCCACATGCTGAACGATCTCATCTTGGTTATCAACGCCGACGGCGCACACAACAAGTACTCTTCGACCATCAACAAGGCCAAGGATGAGGTTTTGAGGATTGGCGGACGTCTGAGGGCTCTCAAGGACGAGGCTGAGAAGAAGGCGGCTGAAGATGTCCGATCTACCGTTGCCGAGTTTGATACTGCCGCCAACGAGCTTGTCCGACGTGTTGAGGGCTCCATTGCTCAGCAGGAGGTTGCCTGGCGCCAAGAGTTTGAGGAGCAGATGAAGACTGTTCGCGACAGCTACGACAAGAGAATCAACCTTCTGCTTGAGCGTGAGCAGAAGCTCAGCGAGGACAAGCTCCAGAACCAGCTCCTGGAACAGGCTATTGCCCTGAAGAAGGATTTCCTCAAGGAAGTTGAGAGCCGCGTCGAGCAGGAGCGCGAGAGCCGCATTGGCAAGCTCAACGATCTCTCGTCAGCTGTGTCACAGCTGGAGAAGCTCACCCTTGGCTGGAACGAGGTTGTCGACACCAATCTCAAGACCCAGCAGCTTCATGTCGCCGTCGAGGCCGTTCGCGCCAGTCTCGAGGATGGCCAGCACCCTCGTCCTTTTATCCGCGAACTCGTCGCCCTCAAGGAGATTGCCGCAGACGACGCTGTCGTCGATGCTGCCGTTGCCTCAATCACACCTTCAGCTTACCAGCGGGGTATCGCTACCTCATCCCAGCTGATTGACAGGTTCCGCCGCGTTGCCAGCGAGGTTCGCAAGGCCTCTCTGCTACCCGACGATGCGGGCGTTGCCAGCCACGCCTCTAGCTGGGTTCTCAGCCACGTCATGTTCAAGAAACAGGGTCTTGCAGAGGGAGACGACGTCGAGAGCATCTTGACTCGCACGCAGACCTATCTGGAGGAGGGAGACCTGGATGCTGCGACCAGAGAGATGACTGGCCTGCAGGGTTGGGCCAAGACTTTGAGTAAGGATTGGCTAGCTGAGGCTCGAAAGGTTCTCGAGGTTCAACAAGCGCTTGATGTGAGTATCCTTTTACTATGCCCCCTTTTTCTAACATAAGGACATTTTTGCTAATTGTGATACTATAGGTCATTGCTGCAGAGGCTAGACTACAGAGCTTGCGCGTAGAGTAAAAATAAAATTAGTATTGAGATTTTTTCTTTGGTCCTGTATATTGATTGAATCAGAGGAGGAAAAAAAGTAGAGGGCTTCCGGCCCGTGTATAGTTATGAATAGATACTGGTAGTTCAAGTTTCAAAAGATGATGTTGCATCAAAGTATATAATGTTGGTTTTAAATGCTCTATGTGATTTAGTGACTGAATTCAAGACCGCATCCTCTCCTTTGACACGAATATAGAATTTGATATCAGTATCAATTGATTGGTGGTGATGCTCCTAAAACTGTGCCCCGCCATTTATTAGTATCTGCAACCAGGAACTTCCGTACAACGCCATCTTTATTATTACATCAGCGTTGTGGCCAGTCCTCAAGAAACCCAGTGAGAAGTGAATGAGATGGTGTAGCATTCTTTCCTCGTTGATCTTATTCTTTGCTTTATGCGTATTCGAAAAATGAGCTTTAGGCTTGCCCAGAAAGTGCGCTTCCCATTAGCTTCACTCACCCAAACGCCTGTAAATCACACCATCAGATCATCAATCCAGTCAGGGAGCCGCAAGTACAGCAGCATCATGTCTCGAGACTACAACGCAGCCCTTGAGAAGCTGGCTCTCCTCCAGTCTAACCGCATCGTCACCAGCCTCTTCGAATCATCAGAGAAAAAGTCTCCCCAGGACCTCAATGCGCTCGCCATCCCAGAGATGCTGGAATGGCTTCGCCGCGCAGGATACACGCCCCAGGACCTCGTTCGCATGCGGCACATTCACGTGGCGGGCACAAAGGGCAAAGGCTCCGTTTGCGCGTACGCGACGGCCATGTTGGCGAAATATCGCTCCGTGGGCACGTATACGAGCCCGCATCTTGTGAATGTGCGGGAGCGCATCGCTATCAATGGCGAGCCTGTGGGAAAAGAAGCATTTGCTAGTGCCTTTTTCGAAGTCTGGGATCGGCTGACGGAGGCTGCTGTGAAGGAGGGCATGGCACCTGCTGAGGCTGAAGGCACGGCGTCGAAGCCGTTTTACTTTCGGTTCTTGACGATTCTTGCGTGGCATATCTTCCTCAAGGAGGGGATAAAAGATGTCGTCATTGAGTGTGGAATTGGAGGCGAGTATGATTCGACGAATGTACTCCCCCCGGAGGCTGTTTCGGCCGCGGTTATTTCGCAGTTGGGGATTGACCATGTGGCGATGCTGGGGGACACCGTGGAGAAGATTTCGTGGCACAAGGCGGGGATATTGAAGCCTGGGGTGAAAGGATTTACACTGAAGTTGGATGAGCAGCCGGGCGTCATGAAGGTGCTAAGAGAGAGAGCCGCAGAAAAGAAGGCCGAGCTGGTGGAGGTTAAAAATGAAGACATTGAGAGATGGGGTGGTGTGAGTGGTCTGTTGAAGGGAGATTTTCAGAAGAAGAACCAGGCGCTTGCTGTCATGGCCGTGAGAGAGCATCTTGGCATGAGAGAAGATAGGCCACTGGAGAATATCCCCAAGGAGATGATTGAAGGACTGCAGGAGGCGAAACTCAGAGGTCGATGCGAGGTTATTAATGACGGGACGGTAGAGTGGCTCTTGGATGGAGCGCACACAAAAGACAGCTTGGAAGAAGTGGCGAAGTGGTCGATCCAGCACCATTCAATTACAGAAGAACCCTTGATACTAGTATTCAACCAGCAAGAAAGGAACATATCACAACTATTAGCAGACTTTGTCGAAGCTACAAAGAGGGAAGCAGGCAAACAAGACATTTTCCGACACGCCATCTTCACACGGAACGAGATTCCAAGACCGCCCGATGGAGAACTCAGGGATATCGATATGCAGAAGCAGGCGGCGGAGACGATGCGCCGCTTGGTTCCCGGGTGTGAGGTGCAGATATTTGACAATACTGCGGATTCAGTGGCAGAGGCGAAGAGGCTTGCGCAAGGGCAGGATGATGGCGGGTCAAAGAAGAGGGTTTTGGTTACGGGGAGTTTGCATCTTGTTGGAAGTGTACTGCAAGTTCTTGAATCGTAAACCCAGAAGAGGAGAAGATGAGAGACGGAAGAGGAAATACACCAAAATTGGTTGCGTCACGCGAGTCTCTATATATATAATAACATCTTTGTCTATAGCCCCAATTTCAATTACCATTATCATTTTGCCCTTTTTTTCTTCACAAAGCTCCCATCATCACATCATTCCATCTCTACTACAAAGCATCCGTCTCCTCAAGAATGCCCAGCGCACCGCCCACAAGGTGCAAACTCCCCGTCACATACGCCTGCACCGCCTCACCCTCAGGAGCACTCGCCGCCACGCCCCGAGCATAGTTCAAGGCGTCTTCGATGGTCGGTAGGACGACCACCTTTGCCTTGGGGTCGATGGCAGACCACTTTTCAGCAAAGCTGCGCTGGACGGTCAGCTTGTCGACCTCGGAGGGGTCGATGGTGTTGTTGACAAAGTCGCGCTTGTAGCCTGTTTGGGCGTATGTGACGTTTGTACAGAAGACGACGTGGTCGAAAGATGGCTTGTTGTCGTCGTCGCGTTTGAGGGTGTTGCAGATGGGTTGAAGGAAATCGATTGCTTCAATGCGGCCTTGCTGGTTGAATATCATGACTCTTGGGCCAGTCCTAGTTATATCGTAAGTAAATGTTACTCCCTCATCACCCGGGCTTCCTCATGTCTTACCGGCCAGTGATCTCGCTGGCGAACCACTTGGACGACATTTTCAAGCTGTCTGCAGTGTGGGCGCCATCCAGATGCCACGTCACCCTGTTTTCCTGCTTCACTTCGCACCGGCCCCTAAAGACGCACTGCTCCAAGCCGTCGACGAATTCTCGCGGCAGCTCCGCCTCCGAGGTCCCTTCTATGAGCCCCAGTCTTTTGAGGGCCGTCTCTGCGAGGGCAATTGCCAGAGTCGCATTCTTCTTCTGAAACGTGGCGTTGGGTCGGATCTTCACGCCTTCCAAGCGGCGATCAATCTTCAGCACCTGCAAATCAACGCTCTTTTCCCTGGCTCGATTCACGAGAACCTCTTCTGCTCCGGGTAACTGCTCAATCGTGAATGCCGGGCTCCCCGTCTTCATGATGCCGGCCTTGTGCCAGGCAATCTTTTCAACAGTGTCTCCCAAGACAGCGACATGGTCGATGCCAAGCGTGCTGATGCCCGACGCAACCGGGCTCGACACCAGATTTGTCGAGTCGTACTCTCCTCCTATGCCGGTCTCATACACAGCCGCCTCGACGCCCTCTTGCAGAAACGCGTGCCAGCTCACGAGGGTGAGATAGCGGGCATACACCGGCTTTGATCCAAACGGCACTTCCGGGTCAGGTGCTTCTCTCGACTCCTCGAGGCGATCCCACACCTCGAAGAAGTATTTCGCGAAAAGCTCCTCCGAGATGGGCTTGGAGTCTATGCGGATCCGCTCACGCACGGCCATGAGATGCGGCGATGTGAAGAGACCAGTCTTGCGAGGACCGCCATGCCGCTGCTGATACTGAGAGAAGATGGAGTCGACAAAGGCGCAGGTGCTTCCTTTTCCCTTTGTGCCCGCTACGTGGATGATGTTTAGGCGATCAAGGTCCGCAGGCTAAAGCAGAGAATAACGAGAGTAAGCTCGTTGCATCCTTTCATCAGATTTAAGAAATGAGAGGACTACACACAGTATATCCGATCCGGGTGAGGTACGCCCTCATCTTCGCGATGCCAAGGACAGAATCAGGCAAAATGCCAGCCTTGTGACGAGCTTGAATCACCGCAAACGGCGTCTGAAGCTCATTGAGCTTGTCAATCGCATCCTATAAGACATGGAATGAGAATCGGTTATTTCACAGCAACGGCATAACAAACAATGCAGTGAGCGAAAGACATTCATACATTGTAAGACCTGCTTGTAGACGCCATGCTTCGCACAGTCCGTATGCGCCTGGCTATAAATCTGAACAAAAAGGTCGTGGGTCGTGTTGATGCATAACGCATCGGTTTGCGAATCAACCAGGGGGTTTTCCTTTTCTATTTTTTCTTATCTGCTGCGCGCGCCAGGATTGACCTCATATAAAAGGTTCCCCAAGAAAACCCCCACTGACGAGTGAGAAAGCCTTCGCCGGAATCGGCTCTAGTTTGTGAAAAGGAAAAGTCAAAAATTGGTTGGTCAGTCTTAGTTGGTTGAGCTGCAGAAGCGTCGGGCAGATTATCTCGTCTCGTTTATTTCGCCGATGAAGTGGGTGAGTTTAGGATCTTAGGATTGTCTCTTCGTTTTCTGTTTCTTTAATGTTGGATTGCTACGAAAGTTGCTCTTTGGAAAAGAGACGGTGCCATTGATCTTATCATAGCGTCTTTTTAGCCGGATACTATCGGCATCGTCATAGCTGAAGGACTCTCGAATCAGTGTCGACGGCGTAATAGATCACCCGCAGTTACATTGCAGTGAGATTATGTCTGTTTGGAAAAAATTAATAATTCACAACTCCATGACTTTTCATCTCAATATTAGTATTGTATATGAGAATCGGTTTGATTTCGATTCCGCGTTTCTCGCGGATGGCTCTCTTTATGATGTAAAGCGCAGTACTACAACTCTCAGCTAAGATGACAAAATACACCGCTGTCACGTTCAACATCTGAGAATATCACGCAATGTTGCCTGTCAATTCCCTCCCCACCTTGCCAACAACGTACTTCTTCATTCCCTCCTCCAGCCCGTTGAAAAACGACGCATCAAATCTTTTCCCACTGTCCGCCCAAGCCAAGCGCGACCTCCAGGTTAGCCAGTTCTCAGCCATGGCCCCCTCTGGCGCTCGAAGGATTCCCGTTGCAAGATCAACAACGTGCCAGTCACCTGGCTGTAGATGTTTACGTTCATCGTGCGAGTAAAAGACGGTTGCGCCGCAAGTACCACAGAAGCTTCGCAACACACCTGGCGATGAAGCATACGTCTTAGAAGTTCCAATCTTCAGATCATCGCTCTTGATCTCTGGCTCGCAGTACGACAAAGGCAGAAACGTCCAGCCAATAAGATGCGTGCCGTTTGCGATACGGCAATCGTCGCAACAGTCAAAGCTGGCCATCCATTTCTTCTGATCAATGGGAGAAATGCATGTACTCAGCATTTCATTCGCAAGCAGCTCTGGCGAGGGACGCTTGATTGTGAACGATACGCCCCCGCAATGGCACTCAGCCCGCAGCCGCTCTTGTCCGTCCTCGCCTACTTCTGGCTTCGGCTCAACAGTCTTGGCTCGAGGGCTGTCTTTGGGAGGGTTGTAGTCCAGCAGCTTGCGTCCTTCCAGGTGTGTCAGGGCCTGGGAGAGGCCCTTGTCCAAGGCCGAGTCACTAAAACAATGGCCTTCCAACTCAAAGGTGTCTGGGCTGTGTTCTGTGAATATCGAAGTCGCAGGCGTCCACTCCTCTCTGTCCAGCCCAACTCCCGCAACATGGCATCCGCAAGTGGAGCAGAAATCATACGTGCAACCGAAACCCTCAATGGAGTATGTCGTCAAGTTCTTCTCGCTTGAAGGTGCGATCCAATTGGGCTTGATCCCTGGTTCTAGCCTTGCGTGAAAGTTGCATGGCGCCCCAGACGAGAAGCGGCAGACGCTGCAATGACAGAGGTATTCTTGAAGAGGGAGAGATGCCACCGGGACATCCACCGTAAAGTGAACAGAACCACAGAGACACTTGGCCTCGAGAGTTTTGGTTTCGACCTTGGGGTCTGCCATCGTACGCCTGAGAGTGTGGAACGTTTTAATCTGGGCCTGGAGATGTCTCGAGTTGGTGTTGACAGTTCACGGTTTAAGTAGACAACCTAAAGCCCCCATTGACTTTGGGTGGGGGTTGAGATTCACATTTCTTCACGCTGTTACTTTCCCCGTATTCTTCTATCGTCCTAGCTGCTAGTTGGCGTCGTGCAAGTGCGAGGCAGCAACAGCGATCTCGATAAGCTCGAGTGAATGGTTGTTCCGAGTGACTCCACCTTGAAGAAGCGTTACCTATTACTATTAGCCGAAGTTGTTCCGTCAACACCAAACCTAGTCATGCTGGTGCCCGACCTCACTACCAAATTTTCCTCTCATCGTGTACAGGTTGCTGACACCGTCGGCCTCATTTTCACGCCATGTCGGATGCTAGAGACAGTTTTGCTGACCTAGAAAAGCACCGTCTACGGCTTGAAGACAGTGTCAATCAGCTACAGAAAGCTCTGCAGCACTGGCAAACCTGGGATGCCGAATATGAGGGTCTCAAGGAAGAGGTCGAGGCGGTGACCGCAGTCGACGAAGCCAAAGAGCTGCAGCGCATACATGGCGAATTTGACGGCGAGCTCCTAAGTAGGACAGAGGTTGACGAGATTTTTGGTCAGCCAAAGTTAAAGACCAAGCAACAGATTGTTAATGTCCTTGAGCGCCGTATTGATTATGTATCAAAGAATATTGAGACGCTGCAGAAGCAGCTCGAAACCGCTGAGAACAAGCACGCTGCCGCGACAGTCATCAGTCAGCCTGATGCTAACGACGAAGAAGGACAGCCTATTCTGGACATTGTCGAAGAACTGGACGACGACGACAACGTTGTCTCGTTTCGGCTGAATAAGCCCGGCGATTCTTTTGGAGACGTGGAAGCTCTTCTTAAAAAGGCGGGAATTTCAGATGATTCAAAACCGGAGGCCAAGGGAAAAGACCTAGTCTCGGAGAAGCCTCAAAATCAGGAAAAGCCGACTAAAGCCAAGGAACAAGTCCTTGATTCTGTGGCTCCATCTGAGCCTTCTTCTACAGAATCCGATTACACCCCCAAAAAATCTGTTTCCTTTTCGGAAGACACAAAGACCGCTGAAGAACCAGAACAAGAGCCTGAGATATCCTGGAGAGCAAAGCGTGTCAAAGAGATTATGAGCTCCGCCAAAAACCAGGAGGATATTAGCATGCAAGCTGCTTTCATACCCAAGGACGAGTCGCCAGAAGATGCAGCTTTGCGGCAGCAGATGCTGAGATATGGTATGAGCGAAGTTGGGGCAGTTGTTGCCGAGCTTGAGCTTGAGGAAGGCGACTCAGACGAAGAGGAGGTTGATGACTTTGACGACGAATTAGATGAAGATGAAGAGGACGACGAGGATCAATACGGACGTTACAAGGGCAGCGTTGTCACGGACAAGTATCGTCAGCGAATGCTTCAACTCGAGCAGAAACTTGGCATCAAGTCACAATCGTCAATGTCTCAGCCTAAAGCTGACGATGCGGAGTCAAGCGACAATGATTATGACGAAGGCATTGGCCGCATTCTGGTAAAGCAAGAAGCCGATGCGTCATCACCATCTACCTTCACGAAAGCGGCAGGTCCGGTAAAGTCGAATCTCAAGGAGAGGCAATCCGGAGAACCTGAGTCAAAAAAGGGCGTGCGATTTGCGCCCAGTCTTGACATAGCTCCTGAAAGCGAGCCTTCTGCTCCTACAGTCAGCGACACAAAGGAGGACATCGTTGATCCTCTAAGCGATATTGTTGAACGATCTAGTTCTTCAAAACCAGTCCAACCTCCAGCTCAGCCAGCAAAAAGAGCCTCACGGTTCAAGAAGACCAGGGATAACACAAATTCAGCAAGTGCTGTTCCCAAGGGACCTTTGGATATTCGGCCAAAGTTTATGGAAGAGGAGCGACAGCAAGTGCCAACCGGTCCAGAAGGTACTACCATCGCCGATACTCTAGTCGAACGAGAGCCTGCAGCCGCTGCAATCCCTCCAGATGAGGTCAATGATGCAATGACCCACCGAGAGGTTGCTGATGAGTACCAACGCATGCGCAAAAAATTCATCCAGCGAGAAGGTGGGTTCCTCAAACCGGATGAGTCTCCCATCAAACCTATACGTGACGAGGAAAATGAGGAACCCATCAGCCGGTTTAGAGCGGCACGGCTTTCCCGCCAGTAGTATGGAGAGGATAGTCGACGTATAATCGATAAATCTCACCATATTATTGAGCAAATCTTCATGCCTTGGAAACGTGACGCCTGGAAATCTCTACAAAAGTACCGCCGTATTTACTGACCTAGCGCGTAAAATCGATCTCCCTGTAACCTTGACCTATCCATCGGAACGCTTTCTTTCTTTTACAGAACCATTAGTGGGTTGCAGCTATCAATCTGCTTTCCATTCCGGTGCGATTCCAAGAATGACTAGTTGAAGGGTTCTCTGACACCGTTACTCGACTTGGCAGTCTCTATAGTTTTGGTGATTCGTTAGGCCCTTTACATTGTCTCTGTTTTATCATAATGTCATGAGATATTTTTGCTTCTTCATCTTGCAAGACCTCAAGCATTTTTGTATGGAGTAAAAATTGCTATAATGCTCATCAATCGCTCATCAAGGATGAAGGAAGCCAGAAACGAAAAATGATATGCAATTTTAGCAATCTCAAATGTTTCTCAACATGACCGACTCAAAAGGAGTCAAAAATGAACATATTTTCAATCAGTGTGCAAAAAGCAAAAAAAGAACGTGATTCCGCCCGGGCTCGAACCGGGGACCTTTTCGGTGGTGTCAACTAACTGTTAACGAAATGTCATAACCAACTAGACCACGGAACCGTACAACTTATTGTTGTGAACAGCGGTGGTGTGTGGCTCTATCAAGGACAAAATTGTCGAATCCTTCTTTGAGAGCTGACTGGTTAATGATTTGAGAGTTTTATTTATTTGACCGTGGAAAGGGGTTAACTGCAAGGTCAAGTGGTGTATTAAGTCGTGCGTTCAAGGTGCTTATAGAGAAGAGAAAGTGGGATGTGATGAACATACCCACCCTGGAAGAACAATCTGTCTCAGTTGGGGATTCAGCTGTAAAGAGAAAAGTAATGAAACATCAGATAAACATAACGTTTGGCTATGTCTGAAAGAGAAAAGACAACATGTGCCTTTTACGTTTCGATCGGCGCGACAGCCTGATATCGATGCCCTCATGTACGATGGACACCTATGCCATAAAGATCCTTTCATACAGTCCCACAAGAGATGTTATATCCAAAGAGATTTCATTGTTTAATCTTACGTTATGCTGTCCTATCCTCAAACCCTTATAATCTATGATGAATAGATACACGTAACCCCATCCTCGCTCAGATGCTGTAGTTTACAGTCTTCCCATTAAAAGAGCCAAACACAAAATGCCTATGCAGCCATGGTTGATATAAAGTACATACACGAAAAGAAAAGAAGCCAGAAAAGAAAAAAAAAACACCTTTAAGAAAAAGCCTTCATGAGTAGTAGCCGTCCGTTAAAGCATCATTTCCATCCTCATTTACCCTTGCTGAACAGCGCCGCAATCGTATCAGAAAACGTTGCCTGGCCTTCCGCTCGTCGCACTTCTCTCTCCTCTCTCTTCGCGTCCCAAATCTTCTTGACGTTTCGCGCAACGTCCGCCTTGGCTTGCAAGTCGGCTCTCAGAGCGGCCTCTTCTGCTGCTCTCTCGTCTTCGGGTAGCTGGTCCAGCTTCTCTTTCCACTGCTTCTGGAGCTCTTCAGAGGGCTTGACGGCGGTTGCGGGAGTGGCTGTTGTTCTGGGGATGGAGGGGTCGAAGGATGGGATGAGGGTGCCGGCTTCTTTGGCCTTTTCGACCTCGGCTTCGTGCTGGAGCATTCGTTGGAACAGCGCATCGGCGTGGAGCTGGATGTCTTCGTCGACTTCGGCGGGTCGCCCTGCTACTGAGCCATAGCCGAGTGCTCTTAAAAATCTCTGCAAATTGTTTGTCAGTATTAGTTCCTTTTTTGTGCGCTTGTATCGCGCTCTGCAGTGAAGGGCGCAAAGCCAAGATAAAACAAAGAAGAGGCTTTCATACAGATTGCATGGTGTAGCATCTCTCAAAACGCCGCACTTGATGCCTGCACATTTGCAACTGATCCTCCCAGCTGCCGTTCTTCATGCAGTTGATCCATTCCTCCTGTTGCGGCGCGCAGTTCTCGAGTCCCGCCCTGGCGATTGCGGCCTTGCGCTCCTTGTACCCCTCCAACACGGCCATCAGCTTATCGTGATCGGTCGACGTCTCTTCCTCGACCTCGGCCAGCGGCCTGTAGTTCTTCCACAGATGCGCATATCGTCCGTCTTGATATAAACTCGCAGAGGGGACTGTCGCCGCCTCGGCCCTTGACTCTACCGCCGCTGGTGCATCCTGGCGCCGCGTCGGCGTTGTCGTCTGGTTGGGAATATATTTCACCGGCGACTCTTTTTCGAGAAACTCGCGGAGCTTGGGATCGAGCTTGCCGAGCGGGTTGGGAGCATCGCCGCCAAAGATGGAAGGTAGCCAGCCCATGGTGAAAGGAGTGAGAGTTGGAGCCGCAGAAGGCGACCCAGGGGTATCAAGATCTCTTATTTGGGCCAAGGTGGCTCTGACGTCCCCAACAAGAATGGATTTACCGGGAGACACTTTTGACAAGGGTGCGAATATTACATAATGTGGAGAGGTGCACTGTACGTTTTTATGTACGCCGGCGCATGTGTCAACGTGCATTATTACGTTATGCCGTTTTTTGCCATTCGTCGCGACGTGTTGAGGGCCAAACTGCTGGAGCACCTGTTTAGAGTTAAAGAATTTAACATATGAGGATCTGGACCGCAACATGGAATAGAACAGGCGGGTTGATATAGCAGTTGGCAGCATATGCAGCATCACTTAATCAAAATAAGTAGTATTCTCGTAATACTACGGCCGTCTCGTAAAACTGCAGCAACGGTAGATTGTAAAACTTTTTGGTAAACAGTATTTAGACATTGGATTTTATTCATTCATCACCTTGGGGGGCCTCATCATCAAGATTATTTGCACCGCGCTCCTGAATTTGTGAATCAAATTAAGCGTCGTAAACAACCCTGAGACGTCGAGATCGTAGCCATGAATTCCTTTTTATTCACGATTGCGTCTACAATTCATTTTTGTAAAGCAACTTCCCATGCCGACCCTTCAGCGGAGAATTGACTTATATTCCCCCCTGATGTTTATCACGCCAAAAATGCCACTAAGAAAAACCCAATTTAGAACTTGGAGAACTTCTTGACTGCCTTGCCAGTTCGGGGCAGCACACGCAGAACGTTGAAGCGGATCTGCAGACAAAGCGGTTAGTATTGGTGGTTTCAGTTGTCGAGGAAGAGCTCATCGGGGAAAACGTACAGTCTTGCTGAGAGGTCTGCACTGGCCAACGGTAACCTGGTCACCCTCCTCAACACGGAAAGCGGGAGAGACGTGGGCGGCGAGGTTCTTGTGTCGCTTCTCGTAACGAGAGTACTTGGGGATGAAGTGGAGGTACTCTCTTCGGATAATGAGGGTTCGGTGCATCTTGGTGGAAACGACGGTGCCGGTCAGGATACGGCCACGGATGGAGACGGTGCCGGTGAAGGGGCACTTCTTGTCTATATTGCCCAAAGTCAGCAATTCCAGTTCGGCAGAGGTTGTGTCCCAGTTCGTATATTCCCATCTCGTTTTCGTCGCGTTGCTCGAATTCAGCGCTCCAAATCTTTTGCCATCGCTCTCTCGATGCTTCTCTCAATTTGCCAACCCTTTGGATCCACCCGGTTCTTTCAATCGTTTGCTTCGCACGTACCGATGTAGCTGCCCTCAATGGCAGTCTTGGGGGTACGGAAACCCAGACCAACATCCTTGTACCATCGTCGTCCTCCCTTGCCCGGTCTGGCGCTCTTGGTCTTGGTCTTGGAGTTCAAGAAGATGTGAGGCTGCTTCTGGAAAGCACGCTCCGACTGGACGGTCAACTCGGTCGCCCTGGCATAAATGTCAGTACAAAATAATGTTCGTCGAGGTATCGCGCAGCGCTGTCGTGCAAAACTGACATCTTGAATTATCCTTCTCCGGGGAGGTACCGTAACTAGAGGGCGTGTCGTAGAGGGTGGGAAGACAATGTCGATGGTTTTGCACAGAATGGAGGAGTAGGGCAACGGCGCACTTTTTTCGGGTCCATTTCCCACCTTAGGGCTTGCAAAATTTAGAGTGGCTGATTAGGCGAATCAAAATAGCGGATCTCGCCTTATCGGCACGTGATGGTTCTCTTTTGGCAGTCGTTGGCCAAATCGAAACCACCGGCACGTGACACGCAGTTGTGGAGCGCTAGGGGATTAGTGGCTGTTTCAAGTGTGGCTGGTGCTGGACCCTCAAATTGGCAGTGCCTTAGTGCCTATGCGGTACGTACCGTTACTCCCCCGCGAAAGTAAACAAACGCGGTCGGTCATCGGGTCGTTTTTATCGTCAAGTTGGAGCTCCTGGCCTCGGAGGTTTCGAGGCAGGACCAGCATCATCACCAACATGTCGGCGCCCGGCGAAGCCACTTTGCCGCCTACGCGCCGCGCCAGGAAGTCCATCGGTGTACACACAGAGCTGTCACGCAAAGAAAATAATATAATTGACGTTGGCGGCTCATTGGCGGCCAGTCGCAAGTCACGGAGCAAGAGTATAGGCCCGGGGGGGCTGGATGCGCTCAGGCAAGGAACTGGCAACAGGCGCGCGGTATGGATGCTTCTGATATGGAGTCTCAGAGCACAGCTAATTACTTTATACAGTCTCTCGCTGTGCCGACCAAACTGCCTCGCTCGATTCTGAAACCTTCAATCTCTCCTCTGCCAGAGATTCCGCCACTGAAGTCTAAAGCTTTGAGGAAATCAGTAGGCGCATCGGCACCTAGCGTACCGGAAGATGAATCAAGCGGATCGAAAGTAGCTTTGAAGACAGAGGAAGAACAACAAGCCGCGGCCAAGGAAAGAGAGGAAAGAGAGAGGCGAGACGCCCGTCGAAAATCGCTAGCCAATCGCAGAGTCTCCTTTGCTGCTGAAGCAACTTTGCACACTTTCCACGAGGTGGAATATATGCAAAATCGAAATGCAGCAGAATCAAGAAGGAAGTCAGGCTCGGGATTGGCTAATCGAAACACCGACGCCCCAATTTCAGCCGAAGACCAGAATGTCAAGGGGAGGAGAAGTTCCCTTGCCACACAGAATATCATCCAAAGCCAAGTTGACGCCCCAACGTCAATCATATACAGCTCAGATTCTGAACCTGCAGATGCGGTGGAAGAAGTTGCGACCGACGAGGAGGAAGAGGTTGAGGATGAAAACTCCAACAGTGATTCTGATGACGGCACAATGATGAGCCTTGAGACAGAAGATATTACTGGGACCACTGTGGCTTCTAGTCGATCTATAGAGGATATCGAGGATGAATCTACGCTGGACGAAGCTCTTCGCTTTGCTGCGCGACTCGCGGCGACTCAGCAGCTGGGCGAGGAATCTGACGATGGTGAGGAGATCATACCCTCATTCGGTTGGGTGAAAAAGACGAACCAGCAGCCCTCTGCCTCCGCCTCTGCTGGCGAAAGCAAAGCGGCCTCGAAATCTCCTTTGAACCGGCGCAGTATTGGAAGAGATGAGGACGGCACAGAGATGGACATGGACATGGACATGGACATGGACATAACTCAAGCAATCGGAAAAATTATCAAGCCATCTGCCGCGGAAGAGGCTGACAACGAACCGGAGCAAGACGTGTCAATGGATGTGACTCGGACCTTTGGCGGCGTCCTCTCCAATAAAGAGAATGATGCGCCTCTTGAATCCGGTGAGGTAGATGGTGGTGCTATGGAAGAGGCTACGATGGAACTCACCACTGCCGTGGGGGGCATCCGCTATCCCCAATTACGAGACATCGACACCGACGATGATGATGGAAACGAAGATATGTCGATGGAATTGACCAGTGTTATGGGTGGCCTACTAGCACGTCATCAAAAGGAGAATGGGGCTGCTCGTCGCCAAACGTTGAATCAAACGTCGAAACCAGATGCAGATGATGCCACAATGGACATGACTGTCGGGTTGGGAAACATTCTTTCAAATGCTCAAAACAGCGTGGTCAACAATAAAGCGGACGACGTCGAGGGCGATGATGACGCGACGACTGGAATGGATGTCACAATGGGCATGGACTTTACTACGGCCATTGGCGGAATTATTAAAAATACATCCAGAGCTTTCCGAAAGAGCTTATTTGGAACGAAAGCTAATGAACCAGAGAATTCTCAGCAGCCAATGCCGACAGCTGAATCACAGGTTCTTGATGAGCAAAACACCCCCGTTCAAAAATCGTCAACGAGATTATTCGAGTCTCCTGGTGCTGAATTGCAGGTTACTCGAGGAGCTAATCTGTTCCAGCATGCTACTCCACAAGCACGAAAAGAGCAGCCCTTGATCGATTTCGCAACAACTCCGGTGACTCCTAACCTGTCAAAGACGCCAAAATTATCCAAGATACCCATATTTTCAACGACTCCCAAGACTGCAACACCCAAATCCTCGAGGATGCCACGACAGGCTGCATCATCTGAAAAAGCACAGACGCCGACATCACAGAGTCGTGTTCTTCGATCATCAGCCAGAAGCTCTACATCGCAGAGAGCGAGCCGAACGCCATCGCCGGTTAAAACAACTCCTAGAGCCGCTACGAAATCAACCCCAAAGAGTGCTACAAAATCAACCCCCAAGAGTGCTGCGAAGTCAACTCCACAGAAGAGCTCTACTCCTCGGCGGCTTTCGGGCCTTGGTGCAGATCGAACTGGTCTAGGGTCACCTCAAGTAGCAGCTATTTTCGATCGTCGAGAGTCTCTGAGCGATTCAGCAAGCATATTTGTCCCTGGAAAACGCACCGTTGCCTTTGACGAGCCTAAGGTATCGGCCGCAGCGAATGATGAAAGTGATGAAGGAAGCCAGCCGAGACTTGGTCGGCCTGAACCGCAAACGGATAGAGATGCTACACTTAACCTTAGAGAGATGATTGATAGTATGAGCCCCAAGCGAAATCCCCTGAGAGGTCGGAAGAGTCTCCACATTGGCAGTGCCAGGGGCCTTTTGGGCAAACGACCCCTTGAGTCGGACGATGAAGAAGAAGCTGAGGAGAATGATGGTGTAAAGAGGTTGAAGGGGCGTGAGGGCAGCCCTGTGAAAAATGTGAGACTTCAACTTCCACCGTCAAAAGAAGAGACAACCGGAAGACTCAGGAGGTCAAGTCGACTCAGCTTTGACTTTGCCGGAAGGACATCACAGTCAGCTTTCTCATCCCCTGTAAAAGGGGGCAAGTTCCTGGGAGCAGCAAGAGAAAACCAGACGGTTCACGATGTCCAAATCCATCAGCTGCCTATGGAGACAGTGGAGGAAGGCCAGATGCACCTTCAAGATTTCCTAGACCTCACCTCAATTCGCTTCATGGAGCTTACAACGACGAAACGACGCCACACAATTGCTCCAAGAACTTCCCAAAGTGGCATTTTGCCGGATGGAGAAGATGATCGATCCCTTGAGCGGTGCGTTGTGGCTGGTGCTTGTACTGTACCGATGCTGGAATTATATCAGCACTCTTGCCGAGAGTTGAAGAAGTATATCTCCGAGGGTCGAAGAATAGTGAAAGAGATTGAAACCGAAACTTTTGAAGACAACCCCCCACTATTTCAGGAGTACATATCTGCAACCCCTGAGGTTAAGGCATTGATGGACAATCAATTCAAAAACGTTAGAACTCATTCCCGTCACCTCAGCAAGGCCATGTGGTACGAATGGAGGATGAAGCTTCAGGAGGGACTGAAGGAGGGCCTTGTCAGCATCTCAGGTGGCATGGATGACGATGTCAGAATCATAGAAGAGCAAGAGGCCCTTCTAAAGTCTGTGATGCCCAGCCTCGTGGGTCGGTATGAATCATTACAAGAAGAAAGCAACAATCTTGAGGAAGCTGCCAGAGAACTGGCCGACTGCGATCCTGCTGAGCTCCAAGCCACTCGAGAAGAGCTGGTCAGTTTGGACGATGATATTGCTCAGAAGAAGAAGCTTATTGCCAAGCTTCGGCAAGAGTTTGAAGCTTCAGAGGCTAATGTGGAAGAGTTGGTGGGTCGAAAAGCGCAGTGTCTTGTCGAAATACAGGAATCTGAGAAAATCAGAGAGGAGTGCCGTGGCTGGACCAGCACCGAGGTGAACAATCTTAAAGGTATGCGTGTTCTATGACTGTCAACCATGAACTTTACAGTAGCTAACATCAGTAATAGCTCGAGTAGGGGCTCTTGAAAAGGAGCACGGTTGGGCGGTGACAGGAATCTCGGGACCGACGCTCTCTATGACGTACAAACGAGAGATTGAACTCGTCGTCGATATCACAGCCTTCCAGCCACAGCAGCCGAGTTCACGTATAGACTTGTGGTACATTGCTGACAGTCGTGAGATAAATCCTCAACCAAAGACACCAGAAAAAGAATTCCTTCTACAATGTATACGCGATCACATTCGAACAATTTCCCAAAGCGGCACAAAGCTGTCGCACATCCTCAAAATAGTGCAAGCTGCATGGGACCACTCGAATTGGATTTCTCGAGAAGTTGGACGCATCAATGTAACGTTTCCAACAAAAGTCACCAAGACATCTGACTCTAGTATTGCTGTTACTAGTTCCCTCCTTCTAGCGCCTCTGGAAACGCGAGTCGAGGTGGTATTTCATCTCAGAGGGTCCAGTGGGCCGGAAGGGGTGGACGTGAACGTTTCGACAGACGCCAAAGTTGTGTATGGAGAACAATTCAATGTGGGCAAAGTGGGAGAGTTTTTGGCGACCAGGATAGGGAAAAGTGTCGGAGCTGAGGGTGAGCCGTGGAGCAATGTAGTGGTTGAACTATATAACAAGCTCATTGCTCGGGGGAAGAAGCAGTAGCAGCTCGACTTGACGTTGTAACGACTCATGATGGATTGGGTATATATGGTTGACTTGGTTGAATAGGCGTTGTTGGACATAAGATACCTTGAGCTGATGCTCTGTAATTGCATTATCATTGATAGATAAGTATGTTGTTTAATATTCTTGCTGGAACACTTCTTTCAATCCCTTCTCCCGCGCCAGACACGGGACTTGGATATATCAGGGAACTTGTACCTGCCTACTTGGAAGTACTGTGTATATACATTTGCTTTACTTTCTCGATCGATGCTACATGTAACAAGCCTAATACTTCCCAAGGTCCATAAACTTCTTAAAGTGCGGAGTCCACTGAAGCGGATAGCAATAATCACGGAGGCTACATTTCGGGCAAGGTGCTCTCCAGCTGGGACCGACCCCATGGGTAAATCTCGCGATAGCCGTGCTTTTGGCGACTAACACCAAGTTTTAGCGAGATTTACCCCCCCGCAGCCGGTTTGTACATGCAGCTCCAATGATCGACCCTCCACCAGCTCTCCTGTTTTTCCTTGCCACTTTTTGGAATTTTTCTTCTTCTTCTCTCTTCTTCTCATCAATCCAATAACCTGTCCAACTCAACGTTCCCTTCGCACTTACTTGCGCGCCTCGTTGCTGATTTTCAGATTTTTCTCCGCACATCGGCGCCCAGCCTTGCTAGTTGAGAGGAGTTACCCAATTTGGCAAACCGACGCGAACTCGGACAGGCCTTATTTAAGAGACTATCTGGTACTCGCCAATATCTTTCAACTTTCAGCAACACAGCATTTTTCTTTCTCCTCCTTTCAATCTTTACAAGTTTGGGCGTTTTCACTAGAGGGATAGATTAGGATTTTCTGTTTTTTTTTTTTTTTTTTTTTTTTTTTTCACCATGTCAGCATTCATTAGATGGTAAGTTTTGCCACCACCCTGCTCATTAGCGGCGATCTTGTTACTTTTTGTTGGTTCTGACCATTTGCAATTCAGGTACAATGGAAGGCTCGCAGCCCGTCCTCTGCTCACTCAGGGCGTGACGACTGCGGTGCTCTTTGCAACTGGTGATCTCACCGCTCAGCAGCTGGTCGAGAAGAAGGGCCTGAAGAACCACGATGTGGCTCGAACAGGCCGTATGGCGCTCTACGGTGGATGTAAGTTTTTCACTTTTATTTTGCTGCCTAAACCCACCATCACCACTTCTCTCTCCTTTTCGCCAGCCAGCACAGCACCCAATTTTCAGGTCCATTAAAATATGAAGAAGTTTTTTTTCTCTAATCAACCGATTGTAGGTGTTTTTGGGCCTGTTGCAACCACCTGGCTGGGTTTCCTCGCCCGTCGCGTCACCTTCAGAAATGCCCGTGTTGAGACGCTGGCGCGCGTGGCGGCTGACCAGACACTCTTCGCTCCCGTCATGATTGGAGTCTTCCTGGGTAGCATGGCCACGATGGAGGGCAAGAGCCCCAAGGAGCGCCTCGACACCACCTGGTGGCCGGCGCTCAAGGCCAACTGGATGCTGTGGCCGTTTGTCCAGTTCATCAACTTCACCTTCCTGCCGCTGCAGTACCGTCTGCTATTTGCCAATGTCATCTCCATTGGCTGGAACAGCTACCTCAGCTGGGTGAACAGCCAGGGCCAGAACAAGGGCCACGAGCTGGTCGCTGCCCCTGCCACCTAAGTTATAATCTTTGACGACAGGAATTTAGTTGCTCCTTTTTACGTCTTTTTGTCTTTTGAGGTTTATATGGGTACTTGTGCTAGAGAAAGGAAATGGGATATAAGATAGAAGGCTAGAGATAATTCGGAGTGCGAGCACCATGTGTGTTGCACCTCACGATAATCAATCATAATGCATGACGACGCAGTGCATTTACGCATTTCATCTAACACCTCTTATCGATGATGACGATGCTATTTTAATGAAGTGATAATCTTACCACTTAGTATCTACTTCCTGTATCGCTTCAAGGTACCTATCGAGTGCACTGACAGAATAGGCCACTACTGCCCCCCTGCAGTTTGCTGACGTCGTGGCGGTCTTGTGATCGGGTCCGATGATTGGATTTACGTCTTATTCAGGGGGGGGATTTGTATCAATGGATGCCGGTTTCAGGGGCGCAAAGTGCGATGTGACTCCCAATGCTCCGTCCTCTGTACTGAAACGTACCCATCATTAACTTTGGATCCTCACTTTGAACCCTCATTGCCATCTCTTCCATTTTTCCCAGCCAGATCTGATAACCGCAAAGATCAAGATCCCTGATAAGCCCAGGGCTTACTCATACAGTTGTTGCTCAGGCGTTGCCTCCTTAGGCCACAGAGGGCTTAGTGTTGGCTGACTCATCCCTAGTTTTGCCGCCTTGCAAATCGTTTTACCGAACCAGCGGCCAAATCCGGGCTTTGACGAGACATCATCAGATTCAGCCTCAGCGCTCGAATCAAGCCCCTTCCTTCCCCTTTTTCCTCATCCAGCATTATTCCAGCATCCCGAATCCGGCGACACAATGTTACCTTTGTCGTTGCGGCGTGCGGCAGCCTCTGCTCCTCAAGGAGCTCTCGCCGCGTCGGCCCCAAAGATCACAGCCTCGAGCTTCATTTTGAACCGCCCCCAGCGTCGATTCTCTTCGTCAAAACCCTCGAGATCCGATGAGCCCAACGGAATCGCAGCTCGTCAGTCCGTACCAGCGTCAACATCGTCTCGCGGAGAGGGCAAGGGCAGCAGGAAACGAAAGCCCAAGGAATCGGCTGATCGAGATGCAGCCTTCAAAAAGCTACCCAGTGTTCCCAGCACTCACCACATGTCTCAAGAAGGTAGGTGTCGAAAACGCCCAGTTTAGATACCTCTCTCTATACTAACTTGGATTTCCAGCCCTGAGCTTGTCCAGCTTCTTCTCGCTCCACCGTCCCATTTCCGTCACACAGACCATGCCCAGGAGTGTTACGGACGAGCACTTTGCAACCATCTTTGCGCCCCGAACAAAATCGAACAAGATACGGGACACTGTATCTACGCTCTCCGATACCATCGACCAGCTGGAAGGCCCCATGGCTCAGGTGACAATAGGAGGCCAAGACCAGGGAGCCAGCGACGGCATGCAGAGAGTCGACGTAAAGAACCCTGATGGCACTGAGTCGAGCATCTACCTGCAAGTCGACACCATGTCCGGAGAGTTCTTGCCTTTCCGCCCACCTCCGCTACCCGAAGCGCAACAAAACTCCGAAGTTGATGGATTTGCTGCTGAGGCTGAGGCTTTGGAAGATTCTCACCACCGGGTGTACAAGGCCATGTTCACCATTGAGGAGTCAACCGAGCCAGACGGCCAAATCAGGATCATCGCCCACAGCCCGCGAATTATCCAGGATGGCCAGCCTCGGAGTTTCTTGGAGCGCCTGGCTCTCCGCCAACTGCGATTTGATCAGACTCGTGGCAACCGTGACCTCTATGCTATTAGCGTCAAGCGGCAACGAAAGCTCAAGATGAAGAAGAAGAAATATAAGAAGCTGATGAAGAAGACAAGGAACCTGCGCCGTAAGCTGGATCGTACTTAAGGGGTTGTGTTTGGGTTTGTGGTATAGACTTTCATCATTTGAGGTTATTATTTTTTCCGTTTTATATTGCGTTGGGATTTGGTAGGTTCTTGGGTTGGTGTCTGGTCTGGCGGTTGATTATTTTTTTGGTCAGCCATAAGTTACGCATCGCGATCCCGAGACTTTTCCTCTTCCATAGACTCGAGATGATAACAGTTTGTCATATGCCATGGTGCATGACTGGGGGCACACGGCCGTTTCCCGTTAGATCGATGTATGTAAATTAGTATGAATAAGATGAACATGTAGCAACAGTGCTTGGTCGATGGAGATGTTTCCTTACTCTGCGTACTAATCTAAATGAGTGATTGGCTTGCAGGTTTGCTCTTATCTTGGCTTATCACCGTGGGAATTCTATAAGAAATAATGCAATCTATTTCCAAACTCATATACAAAACGTACATGCATATACATATCGGAAAGAGAAAACAGATGGATTAATTGCTATGAGGCACCGCAGGCCAGTCGAGTCTGCGAGGTTCTTGAAAGCCATATAGATCAGGCTATTTTACAGTGGCATGTCAAGCCTTTGTGAATCTAATACATATCTAAAGACTGTCAGTGGCTTCCATCAGCGCGTCAGAGAACAGTTTATTCATTAAGCAGCGTTAATAGATTATTTTCAAAAATCAAGCCTATGATTCATGATAACATCTTATCCCAAGTATACATTCTTGACCGGCGCAGCGCCTCGGTGAGAAGTTCGGCCAGGTCCCACACCCACGCAGCTAATCGCGCCCACCGCCCGGCAGAATTCAGCTCCACCGCCAAATTTTTGGAATTTTTTGGCCGGGACTGGAGTTTTTGTATGAGAGAGGTCCCGCAATAAACTGTCTGAAGCAAGCAATTCTTGCGCAATCCTTTACCACAGACCATTGGCTGTGACAAAGTATTTGCAAGATGCAGCGCAAGCAAGTGTAAGTTGCTGGCTAGTGATTAGCCGTCTATATATCTTTCATACTGTTGCGACATAGCTGACCAGCCTGATAGAGACGAGCGCATTGGCGCGCTCATTCGAAATGGGCTCCAAGAGAAGAAGCGAAGCTTTTTCGTTGTGGTCGGCGACCAAGCCAAGGATGTGATTGTCCGACTTCACTATATCATGTCCATGGTAGATATCAAGCAGAACAAATCCGTCTTGTGGGCATACAAGAAGAAGCTGCTGGGATTCACAAGGTAAATACACTGGCGTTAACAGACTGCTTGACTTAGCTGGTGTTCTAATAAATGAATGCATTTAGTCACCGGAAGAAGCGAGAAGACAAAATCAAGAAAGAGATCAGGCGCGGTATCCGAGAAGCCAACTCTGAGGACCCATTCGAGCTCTTCGTTTCCCTGCACAACATCCGCTACACCTACTACAAAGAGACGGACAAAATCTTGGGTAACACATATGGCATGTGCATTCTGCAAGATTTCGAGGCTATCACGCCAAATATTTTGGCCCGGACGATCGAAACGGTCGAAGGTGGTGGTTTGGTGATTATGCTGCTCAAGGGAATGAGTAGTTTGCGACAGCTTTACAACTTGTCTATGGATGCTCACTCAAAATACCGAACGGAGGCGCACGACGACGTTGTGGCAAGGTTCAACGAGCGCTTCTTGTTGTCTCTAGGAGGCTGCGACTCCTGCTTGGTTATCGACGACGAGCTCAATGTTCTGCCCATCTCAGGCGGCAAGAACGTGAGGGCTCTGCCGCCTCCGGAAGCAGACCAGGTCAAGACTCCGCAAATGATAGAGTTGGAATCTATAAAAGATGAGCACCACGAGCAGCAGCCAGTCGGATCCCTCATCAGCCTCGCGAAGACGGTTGATCAGGCAAAGGCTCTTTTGACCTTTACCGATGCGATCGCTGAAAAGACGCTGCGAAGCACAGTCACTTTGACAGCTGCTAGAGGTCGAGGAAAATCCGCTGCCATGGGAGTCGCCGTGGCTGCTGCCGTGGCCTACGGATACAGCAACATATTCATCACGTCTCCCTCTCCAGAGAACTTGAAAACACTGTTTGACTTCGTCTTCAAGGGTTTTGACGCTCTCGGCTATGCTGATCATGCGGACTATTCTATTATCCAAAGTACGAACCCGGATTTCAACAAGGCTATTGTTCGTGTAAACATCCACCGACAACACAGGCAGACAATTCAGTACATCCGCCCTCAGGATGCCCATGTGCTTGGGCAGGCCGAACTGGTTGTTATTGATGAAGCTGCTGCCATTCCGTTGCCTCTTGTTAAGAAGCTGATGGGACCTTACTTGGTCTTCATGGCGTCCACTATCAACGGATATGAGGGTACTGGCCGCTCGCTTTCGCTGAAACTCATCAAGCAGCTGCGAGAACAATCTCGACAGGCCGCGACAGACGACGACACTCAAGTTGCTGACCGATCCACTGGGCGTGTTTCAAAAACAGAGGAATTTCAGGCCAGCCGGAAATTACGTGAAATCACCCTCGCAGAGCCCATCAGATATACCCAGGGAGACTCAGTTGAGAAGTGGCTGAACAAGCTTCTCTGTCTCGACGCAACTCTGCCTAAATCAAAGGCGAATATCAACGGCTGCCCTGACCCGTCACAATGCGAGCTCCTCAACGTCAACCGCGATACCCTGTTTTCATTCCACCCCATTCCTGAGGCCTTCCTGCAACAGATGGTGGCGCTTTACGTCGCCAGTCATTATAAGAATTCTCCAGATGACCTCCAGCTTATGAGTGATGCGCCGGCGCACCAGCTGTTCGTCCTCACTGCTCCCACATCCGAAAGCACCGGCAGACTACCCGAACCTCTCTGTGTTATCCAGGTTGCCTTGGAAGGAAAGATTTCTCGACAAAGCGTGATCAACAGCTTGAGCCGAGGAGAGAGACCACATGGTGATTTGATTCCCTGGCTTGTTAGCCAGCAGTTCCAAGATGAGGAATTTGCCTCTCTCTCTGGAGCCAGAATTGTTCGCATTGCAACCAACCCAGAGTATATGTCCATGGGATACGGAAAGCGAGCAATGGAGCTTCTCGTTGACTACTATGAAGGCCGATTTGCCAACCTCTCGGAGGACGAGGACCAAGCAATGGACGACAAGCCTACTCGGGCGACTGATGCCGAGCTGGCTAAGGAATCCCTTTTGAAAGAAAAAATCAGCGTCAGAGATGATAAGCATATGGCTCCTCTCTTCTCCAAGCTGTGGGAGAAGAAGCCAGAGCGACTTGACTACGTTGGTGTCAGCTATGGCATGACCAAGGAGCTACATAAATTCTGGAAGCGCTCCTCTTTCTCACCCGTATACCTCCGGCAGACTGCTAATGATCTTACCGGCGAGCATACTTGCGTCATGCTCAGGCCTCTTGAAAACAGTGGCGATAAGACATGGCTGGGCGCATTCTCAAGAGACTTCCAGAAGAGATTCCTGTCCTTACTATCTTACCAGTTCCGAACCTTCTCTGCCATCACTGCGCTAAGCATTGATGAATCAGCGAATATCGGTGCACAGCTCGATAGCATACCCCTTTCTTCTCTCACAAAGGATGAGCTGGACAAGCTCATGTCGCCCTTTGATTTAAAGCGACTTGAATCTTATGCGAACAACATGCTTGATTATCACGTCATTTTGGATCTTATGCCTACTATTGCGAACCTGTATTTCACTGGCAAGCTTAAGAATGGCGTCAGCCTGTCGGGAGTACAGCGATCCATTCTTCTCGCCATCGGATTGCAGCGCAAGGATGTTGATGAGATTGCCCAGGAGCTCAACACCCCTTCTTCACAGCTTCTCGCCATGTTCATCAAGATTCTTCGCAAGTTCACTACGCATCTCGGAACACTGGTTACAGCAGCCGCTGATGCCGAACTCCCTAGGGCCGGAAACATTGGCGTCAGCCGAGAGGATGCCAGTGGCGCCCATGACGATGAGAATGTGGATGAGCGATTCGTCCCCCTTGATCTTGCGCTAGATGATGAACTAGAGGAGGGTGGTGACGAGGCCCTGAGGGCTCTCAGGCAGAAGCAGAAGGAGATGATTGATTCTCTGCCTTTGGACCAGTGAGTAGCACCTTGCTTTTTTTTCCCCCATACCTCATTTGATATCTCGTTACTAACGTGGTTTTTCAGATATGAAATTGAGGGCGATGCGCCGGCCTGGGAAGACGCAGAAAAACAAGTCAAGAGCGCCGCAAAGGACGGTAAATCCAACGTTGTAGTCAGCGTCAAGTCCGCCAAGCAGAAGAGAAAGGCGGCAGGGGCCACGACAGCAGCCGAAGTGTATGAACAGGAGTTTGGCGAAAACTCTCGGAAGAAGAGCAAGAAGGGGAAGAAGGGTAAATAAATAAAACAGAGAGAGAAGCATGTACTAACTACCTACATAAACGGGTTGTAAAAAGAGAACATCCTAGAGATTAGGTTGGGCGTGGCGTTTTTGGACTAGAACTGATGATATTTCAGACTCAAGATAATAAAATTTACTTTCATTAGACGATTGATGAAATTTCTTGATGATAGCATCTAGAAATACAGGTAGTCAGTGCCACATATGATTCAGGAAATTCAAGCAACTTGATATAGAGGCTGTGCTTCGACCCAAGTAAGCTATACCAAGTATAGCCACCAACGTTCCAAGAGTACATATCCAAAGCTCTTCGATACGCAATACTATTACCAACGAGTCCGTATCTAGAAATATCTTTCAAGAATGTGCCATAGAGTATCACATGGCAGGATCTCGGCCGAGGGTGTAGACAAAGTAAAACACTCACGATCTTGCCAGAAAGGGTATTCTGACAAGTAAAGATGTGGGGAAAGACCGGATGGATGACAGCCGCATGCATTTGCTCACCGTTAGGTACTGTATGTACTGCATACATGCCGGTTATTCTTGCAGCATGTCACTTATTGCTTTGTATATAGCTGGACGCCCTAACTAAGAGGTAGCTTAGCTGATATCACAAAATGGTCTATACGATGTACTATATGCATGCAGTCGACTGTAGGGGGCATTGACACGTAGGCGCGCTGTCTGACATACGTCCCCTCAATAGAACGATGGAAAGCGAGGGAAAGAAAAGCCAAGCTGTGCATTGGAGAAAACAGGATTTGATCTTGTGGACAAAGTAGCCGCATGCAGCAGAAACTGGGCACTGCAAAGTATTTCTTCATCGCAGCATCACCACATATGCAGTCTGGACATTTAGCGTCTCTCACCGGTTCTCGTTTAGGCACGAAGGCCTCAAGGCGAACCGTATACGACTAGTGGCATACAAGTTAGTAGGCAGCTTGCATGCACGCCTGTGCCATCTGTTCTTTGGACCGGTCTTTCGGGAGGATATTAAACTAGAGACGAAAAGCAATGGGAGGGAGTAGGAGTAGTAAAGATTATTGGGCTGGTGTTAGCTGAGGTCGCTACTGTGGATGGCTGAGACGGCATAATACATGGCATATGTAGCTAACGCCGCAATCACCATTTGGCCGTCGACTAATGTCTGCTGCTAGCTGAGCTGGCATGTCGGCGAAGTTAGATGCATTGGACTGGCGCCTGGAGCATGGAGTATGGGGTACAGGTACAATCGTAAGTTCTCCGCAGCCGTGAGGCGACATCCGATTCCTCGGTTCAAAACGTCGCTTGTGGGCTTCCGCAGAAATGGATATGTGTAGTACCTGGATACGTACCTAGAGTAATACTGCTTCTACTACTAATAGTAGTGCTACCTCCTATCAAGTGAAGAAACTGTCAGCATCCGAAGCCTGCATGCTGGAGCCGCATAGGGTAGCAGCAGTATTGGTCACTCGGCGCATGATGCGAGACGAAAAGAGACGAGCACGAGGACCGTTGCAGGTTAGGCATGAGTTGCATAAATAGCACTCGATCGAGCATAACTTGGGCGCAGTGCCTGACACAGCATTTGAAGTCCCGTTCCCCTCACTCTCACGAGGTTTTTTCTCAAAAAAGGAACAAGACCAATACCTAAGTATTCCAGTACCTGTTCCGACGGATAACGATGGGGGTCACTTTGGGGGTTCTGTTGGGCGGTACGTAGCGCTTAAGCAAGCAATAGCTCCCTCCCACCTCCCACTTCGCGATAGTGGCTTAATTAACACTCTGCCTCTAACTCTCCAATGCCCAGCAGTCACTCCGCAATCCTTCGCTGCTTAGTTAAAGCTGGCAACAGGCTGCCCTGCGTGTCCCTCTTCCCTCTCGCCTCTTCATCCTCTTCTTTTACACGGGGGTCACGACGACAGCACGGGGTTGCGGTCTGCCAATTTATATGGTATAAGCCATATTTCAGCCCTTCGTCCTGCGTGGGAGCTTCTCCCGCCTGCCCCCCATTCGCGACGGATCTCGTCGACACGGAAAAAAGGAAAAGGAACCATCCAGACCATGTTCCTTTGACGCTTAAGAGAATGGGGTAATTCTCGAACAGATATATATGGCAGAGGCCTCGGCACGCGGGGAAGCGATGGAGGTCTTGCGAGAAACTGCTTCTACCATCACCCTCGTGTTTTGGAAACGAGTAAACGGCTGTTTTTTGCTCTGATTTCGCCATGTCGAGTATGCATGATGCCTCTCATATCTTACCGAGTTTTGAGATTCCAAGTAAAGCAAGCTAACAGACATCCATCTTAGCCAAGCATTTCGCCAACGAGCCTCTCGCTCTCGTCAATGCCGCTTTGCGCTCGGCCACCTACACCAACCCCTCCATCGCCTTTGATGCGGCACAGAAAACCGTCTTCCTTCGCGATGCGGCTTCGCAGCCCACCGTTGCATTAATCTCCGGAGGAGGCTCTGGCCACGAGCCGTCATTTGCTGGCTTTGTCGGCAAGGGCTTCCTCACAGCGGCGGTTGCTGGCTCAGTCTTCGCCTCTCCTTCGGCTGAGCAAGTCTTCCGCGCCATTCGCCGCGTGGGCGCAGAGCAGCCGCAGCGGGGTGTTTTGGTACTCATTATGAACTATACCGGCGACATGCTGCACTTTGGCATGGCAGTGGAAAAGGCCCGCGCCGAGGGCATCAAGACCGAGCTCCTGGTTGTTGGAGATGATGTTGGCGTTGGCAGGAAGCGTGGAGGTCGAATCGGTAGGAGAGGTTTGGCCGGAACTGTTCTCGTGCAGAAGATTGCATCCGCCGCTGCTGCTCAGGGGTAAGACTTGACTATTCCATGCTGCTTTCATCATATCCTTCTAACTCTCTCCTTTTCTGGGCAACAGCCAGTCTCTTGAACAGGTCGCTCGAATTGCCAGTCTAGCCTCTGACAACCTGGCCACAGTTGGCGCCTCCCTAGCTCACGTCCACGTACCGGGTCGAGAAATCACTGCCGATGAGCTTGGCGATGAAATTGAGATTGGTATGGGTATCCACAACGAAGAGGGTTTTGGTCGCGTCAAGACGACCCTGAAAGGCCTCGTTGAGACCATGCTCAAGCAACTCCTTGATCAGTCAGACAGCGATCGCGCTTATATCAATGTCAAGTCTGGGGAGGAGGTGGTTGTCATGGTCAACAATCTTGGTGGCATCAGCCCCCTCGAGCTCGGCGCCATCACCACCGAAGTCATTGACCAGCTTGATGCTTCTTACAAAATCAAGCCGTCAAGACTGCTTAGCGGCACATACATGACCAGTCTGAACGGTTTGGGATTTAGCATTACCATTCTAAAAGTAACAGATAATGCGATTCTGCCTCTGATTGATGCCCCTGCCGATGCAGCTGGCTGGTCACCAGCTGTGCGCCCTGAAAACTGGGTTCACGGTATTGATACTGCCAAGTCAGAGATCAAGCAGGAAGCCCCTTCTCATGATGACTCAACTCCTAGTAATCTCGATTGTAAGTCTGAAAACTTTTGCTCCCACTTCTACGGCAAAGCAGCATGACTGACTTGGAACAGTGGACGCCGCATTCACCATCACAAAGCTCAAGACAGCTCTTAACAGCCTCATTGTCGCCGAACCTCAAATCACAAAATTTGATACCATTGTCGGCGACGGCGACTGTGGACTCTGTCTCAAGACGGGCGCCGAAGCTGTTTTGAAACACCTGGAAAGCGTCTCTACGTCAGGGGAGCTCGACACGGTACATTTCGTCCGAAACATTGCACAAGTCATCGAGTCAAGTATGGACGGCACTTCGGGCGCACTTTATGCCATTTTCATCAACGCTCTGTCTTCGGGTCTTCAAGATCAATCTTCCAGCCAAAAGGCTACTGTCACTCCAAAGATCTGGGCAGCCGCCCTCCAAGCTGCACTTAAGAGCCTGGCCAAATATACACCAGCTCAGCCGGGTGATCGTACCGTGGTGGATGCTCTTGTACCGTTCGTCAATACACTGACCGAGACGCTGGATGTTCAGAAAGCCGTCGAAGCTGCGAGGAAAGGTTCAGACTCAACAAAAGGCATGGAGGCTAGCCTGGGGCGGTCTGTTTATGTCAATTCCGAGGGTTGGAACGAATGTCCTGACCCTGGTGCACATGGCCTCGTCAAGCTGCTGGAGGGTTTCTTGGAAATTCCGAATTGAGAGGCTATTGTTTGTATTTTATGGAGAGATGGGAGGACTACGTTGCGGGAAATGTATCTAGTCGCCGCCTGTGTTGTATATTTTAAGATTAAATAAAGACAAGAGTATCGCTACTAAGTTGACTTTAATTGACTAAAAGCCCAATAATACCGTCTTGGCCATCTGCATGATATAAGCATCTAGGCGAATTGTTCAACTCAAGGTATGCTCTCTCTGCGCCAGATCACTGCATATTCCCACATGAAGAACATTACAAGCATTTTCCCTTCATAATCGTATTTGGGCTAGCACATCTGTATAATTCATAGATACGTACCTACACATACGTAGGCATATGGCATACGCACAAACATCTTTTCCGATATGAATATATAGAGTCTTGGGATAAGATCTATCAAATAAGCTATCTAGCCTTTTTAGCAGCTTGCAAAGTGCGAGTATCCTATACGAGAATTTTTCATGTTTAATTGAACAAGATCCAGGGTAACACGATGGCGCAGTCTTGATTCATGTGTATGCGTCTGACCTTGAAATCAATATTCTGTACATTTTATATCTACCTTGTATCCCCTTCTGTCAAGATTGCAAGCCAAGCAAACATCTGTATCTACATCTTCCTACAAATAGGTATTTGTCTTCGTATTTCGTATATCCTTGCCCGTCAACTCAAGACTGTGTACAGTATCTTCCTCCACCATACTAGCGGCCAGAAGACGACGTTCTAGCAGGCAATAGTCGAGAAAAGCGCAGGCCGGTAGACATGGATCTGAGTTCCGTCCCCGCTAAAGAGCCTCCACAGTCATGCTCGCCTCGCTGGCTTGGCTTCTTG